ACTGGAAAATGCATTTATTGACTTTATCAATTCTAAAAATTCTGAATTCTACTCAGACGGAATTAATAAGTTACCAACACGTTGGGAGAAATGTATTGAGAGTATGGGAAATTATTTTGATTAAAGAACATTGCTTTAAAGTAACTAGTTTCTTTTTTTTTGTTTAATACCAAAATCCTGCATTATTTTCCGGACAACCCAATAATTTAATAATATTAAGGTATTATTCTAATTTTTTAATCTTTTATCTTTAATCACTAATTTATAATTAATTTCTTACAGTATTTACTATTGTAATAGTTATTGGTGTTATAATTCCTGCTTTTCACACATTCAAATTGAGCGCCATTAAAAAACCAGCTGCTAATTGGAACATCGCATTGGCGGGGGTATAAGCGGGTTCACTTTTGCAATTCATGTCGAGAGACATATTTGTAGAAACCCTTCAATCTGATGATGAGCTAAAGGGCTTGAAATCCGGATTGTTGCGAAACAACTTATTGTGAGTAGGAACCATCTTTTTAAAAAGGATTGAACTCCACACCCACTCCATCGTTCATAATTTCTATCTAGTGAGTTATTAGTTGTTGGTTTTATTTTTCCATAAACAAATTAATTTATTTTTATATTTTGTGTCATAATTTGTAGTCTCAAGTTGCCTAAAATGTAAAGTAATTCTTATCATAAAGAACGTTTAACTAGGCGTTGAGGATCGAGGACAAGGAGTTGGAACTACTTTACAATATTTTTCCAAATTAATTTAAATAAAATTCCTTTCCAAGAGCTATGCCAGGATTCAAACCCAAAACCGTTAGCATGGCAAATACAAGTCTGATAGCGTAACCCCTCCCTAAAAATAATACTTTTATTTATTTTATATATGTTATATTATATATTGAATTTTTTTCCAGGGGATATTTAAAGAAAATAAAGAAAAGCCAATTGTACAAGTTTTAAATGTAATTACAACTAAGATAAAAGATACTGTTGATACTAATTCATTGTGTGATGAAGAATTGGAAGCTTTGTATCATGCTATCAGGCGGCTAGTTGCATCAAAAACTGGATTTAGTTCATTTACACAGTTAAATGGGTATGTAGCTTTCTAACTCACCTTACCAATTTGAAAATTTATCATTTATGGCTCAAACACAGATAATTTTTGTTTACTCACAACTAGATGTCTTTCTCATTTTATAAATGACATGTAGTCTCAAACCTAAATAGATTAATATAAATTTTGAACTTTCTACGTGTACATTGCAATTTTTCCCTGCTAGACATGGTACAGTTTTATATTTATGTATATAAATAAAAATTTGATTTCCACCATCACCCCCTTCAAAATTATTGAAATTGTGGCTCACATTAATTTTCAATTAAACTTGTTTTGATTTAAATTTTTTACGTTACTGTAACATTTAAGCTAACATCTATCCTCTTAGATATGTGAATTCTATCTGAATATAGTATCACGAGAAGCTTCCTTGCAAGCTTGATCATGTTTCATTTCTTATTTGAGACTTTAATCAAATTTCCATATGCGAATTTCCATAATTTAGTGTTGAATAATGATTTTGAAGTTATTGAATGCCCTGTGATGATATAGAATCATTGCACTTACTCAGGTAGGCTTGGTTCAAAAACATTTTGTAATTTTCATAATTTTTCAAGCCTAATGAGGGTGTCTGTGGCTGCAATGGTTAAGGTGTTGACATTTATCACTGTAAGGTAAAGGTCCCGGGTTTGAATCCAGCGTCCCTGCAATCAAAACCAACATACTTACAAATGGAGTTTTTTTCAAATACACCAACACCCCGAGGGTTGATAGGACCTCTGCTGTTGCGAACCCTTGTAAAAAAATAAATAAATAATTCTTCGAGATTCATCTTGGTCGTTCCCAGCACCAATTGGAAAATTTCAGTGCAAGAGTTTACAGAATAAACACGTACTAAATGCCCACTCCTGTCTAAATTGCCTGATGAATACATTTTGTTTCTTGGATTCTTAATTTAGCTTTCAATTTGTCAAACTTGGCAACATCCACTTCTGTTTAATTTATAGTAAGAGCAGATGGAAAATTCAAAATTAATAGACCCTCAGTTATTGCAGTTGTGTAGAAATACAAGAAATGAAAAGCTTTTAACATTAATTTTTTGTTCTCTAATTGGGGGATTCACATTTTAATTCATTTTGTATTAAAAGAAGCAAACGATAGTGCAAGCATTTCAACATCATTATTAGATTATTTATTTTAATGTATATTTAATAGGTTTAGAGAAAGCCTTGGATTTATTGTTGTAAAAGGTTTAAATAGAAACAATGAAGCCATGACCCATGCAGCTGTAGATATGATTTGTGCATTAATGCGCCCAATGCATGAAGATTATGATTTGAAACAAGAGCAACAGAATAAATCATCTTTATTATCTAAGGAAGACTTTTTGAATAAACTATTGGATAGATGGACACATTATGTTGTAAGGAAATAATTTATATAATAATTATGAACATTTACATTGCAATTGTTGTGCATTTTAATTAAAATTATGTAATTTTATATCTTTGGCATTTCTGTTTTTGTTTTTCTATTAGAATAGTGGAACTGGTGCACTTGTTGTAGCAGCTATGCTTGATATGTTGACTTTTGCTCTCTGTTTACCATACAGTGAAACAACTGAAGGGAGATATTTTGATGCATTACTTCAATTAGTAGCTAAAAGAGGAAGATGTTTATTTAAGCATTTCCAGGTATGTAAATTTTAAGATCGTGCTCAAAAAAGTATGCATAAAAAATGGAATTTCTTTAACAGCACCCCTGTGTCACAATTGTAAAAGGAGCTAGTCTTTTGATGCAAGCCATTATCGAGGAAGCCGAGCAGGATGTGGCAAGGAACATGCAAGAACTTGCTTTGAGTGAAAGTGCTTTACCTCGTCATTTATTAACTGCCTTATTCACTCCTAAAACTGACTTGCAAATGTATACACAGTGCAAGTTATCTAGGCAGTTAGTAGGTCTGTGGTTGGCAGGTAACAATAATGGGATGGAACTTCTTAAACGCCTGTTGGTAAATATTCTTTCTTGTGGCCATACCATTTAATATATTATTGTAATGAACAAGTATTAATGACTATTGATGAATTTATTCTAGCCCTCTGGTTTACTAGCCTATTTAGAAAGTGATGAAATACCGCCAAAAGAAAGTGATGACATGGCTATTATAGTAAGGGATAATTTAAAACTAGCACAAGATCATGCAAATAAATTGGCCAAAAATCCTCACTTGGCAATCTTGGAAAAGAGATATCGACTACTAGAAAAACACATTGAGGTAATAAAGATTATTTCAACCAGTGTAACTTGTTTATAGAGGAAATAAAATTTTACTAATCCATATATGTTTAGCATACTTAATTGACCGGGTTAATTATTTCAATTAATTATACATTTTATTTAAGGTCATAGTAGAGATGAAAAAGTTATTGTCACGAGAAGGATTCGAATCCACAACCTTCATCTCAGTATGCCACTGCTATTACCACCTGAGCTCGTGACACTAACTTTTTGAAGTCAAGATAGCTTAAGTGGTTAGAGCAGCAGCGTATTGAGCTGAAGGTCGTGGGTTTGAATCCCGCTCTTGGCCCTAACTTTTTCATCTCAACCAAGACCTTAGATAAAAAGAATAATTAATTGATAAAATTTTACTGTTGATTTTAAATTGTAACAAACTTGCTTAAGGTTGTGTATTTTAATGTCTATTATTACACATTTTCTGTTAATATCGAAGACCATGAATCCAAAACTGATAAATAACTTGGGATCACTAAAAAAATAATAATAATAATGTTTATTTATTATTTAAGAACTTCTGCCCAAGAAAGTAAGACTAAATTTCTTCTTTTAAAATATATACCAACCCTAGATTCACATAGGATTTTAGTAACTGGGGATTTGATTGTTGTGGGTGGAGCAGCCTTTAGTTGAAGTTCATGGACTGATGTTTATGAGCCGGATGTTGTAGCGGGATGTGAGCAAGCAAATGGCCTTGTGCAGCAGGCAGCCAGATTGGCTTTTGAGGGTGCAAGAGATGATGCTGCGAGAACACTGCAGCTAGTGTTGACACCTTGCTCCATTAGTGAGAGTCGTCAACAAGTCTGCATTTATCAGGTTGGCTCCTGCATATGTCTAAAGCTATTTAACTGACCGCCGCTTCAGAGTGTGACAACCCGATATTAAACCAATACAAGCCAGTTTCCCACAAGGGAGCATTCTTGGTCCCATCTTTTATACTGCTGCCCAAGCCTTATATACATTTTCACATCCCAAGAACATGACACCCTTAAACGACAATGGCCTCGAGACATTTTCGCCCCTTTTTCCCTGAAATCAAATAGCAGCGTTGGCTGGTTTCTTTTAACTTGTGTACTCCAAGTTTAGTGCTAGCCATAGTGTCAGTGCTGTTCTAAGACCGTGAAGAAGAGAAAAAAATATACATACATTTAAAACAACAATATTTTCACTTTACCATCATAAGTGAGATGTCTAAATGAAATTATTACCATACTTTTGCATTCTTTAAAAAAAAATAAAAATAATAATATAAATAGAAGGATGCCTAATAGGATTTTCCTCCCATCAGTGTTCTTACTGCAGAATGATCACAATTTAAATTTTATAGGGGCTCAAAATTTATTAGAGTAGTAATAGGTGAAGTAGATATTTCAGACTTACGATTAGATTTATTGCATGCAATTTTATATCTTCAGTTCAGTATTTACGAGGGGGACAATTTTTTGCATATAATTCGATATTTTCAGTTCTGTATTTATGATGGAGACAATATGAAGGGTAAGGGGGAAAAACTGATTGTCAGCTGGACTAACTGTAAATAGTTGAAATATCTTTTGAATTTTTATTTAATTAATATTTATGTATTTTTATTTATTTTTTCCATTTTTTTAGTGGAAAAACATTATCTATCCAACACTTTATTTATTTATTTATTTTTTAATTCATATTTTTTTGATCCAGCGCTTAATTAAACTGAGGTCATAATGTTTAGGGGAAAAAATCAAGCACATCAATAAAATAACAGTTTTTCTCATGTTGAACCGGCACAGGGTTACTTAATGGGTTACTCCACTCGCTTGTTTTTTGAGATGTTCAAACACGTTTCGGCATTGCCCCATCTTCAGTGAGGAATTGTCTGTCATTTTGTCTCAGTAGGGTTTATATAGCTGGGGGTGTTGAGCTAGTGGGGGCGTGGTCATTGGTTGGTGCTCATTGATTGGTCGTGATGTTGGTTATTTCCGTTGCTAGTTATTATTGTGTGTTGTGATTTTTTTTTTTTTTCAATGTTTTATTCTTCTGAACGTTTTCATTTTTGTTATGTATTGGTTTTAATGGGGTGAAGGTAGTGTATGAATGTGAGTTCGTTTGTGGGTTTGAATTTTCTGCCTTTAAGTGTTATTTGTTTGTATATTTCAAGATTCTCCAGTATGTTGAGTTTTCGTCCTTTATGTGTGTTGTGTTTGGTTTATGGCTGTGTTGTATTAAGTGTGTGGCTAATTTTGATTTTCTGTCATTGTCTGTGAAGGATCTATTCTTTGAATTGATCTCTTAATTTCCTTCCAGCCAATACATACATTGCAGTCCAATGTATGTATCTCTGCATTGGCGTGTGATGCTATAAATACTATTATTGTCTAGCAGGTTAGTCATGTCTATGTTTCTTTTTAACAGTTTTCCTGTGTTATTGTTGGTCCTTAGTGCTGTTGTTTTCAGTGAGAGTTTGTTGAAAAAGTTGTTTATTATTATTATTCTTTTTTTTTTTTTTTTTNTTTTTTTTGGTATGGGTAGTTGGATTGTGCATTTATGATGTTGCTTGCAGTGGATTTTCTGCATATTTGTAAGTCGATTCTATTGTTGGTTCTGGTAAGTCTAGGAAGTTGATACTGCTGTTGTTTTCAATTTCTATGATGAGTGTGATGTTTTTGCGTGTTGTGTTAAGTATGTTTTCTGGGGAGGAGTTTTCTGTTATGGTGAGTATGTTGTTGACATATATAAATAGATGGACTATTCTGTTCTTAGCCATTATTTAAGTAAATGGTTTCCTTTGAGATTTTGGAGAAACAGCTCTGCAAGAATGGCAGATGTTGGGTTCCCCATCCCTAGACATCTTATGGGGTGTATCGTTGAATTTCAAGTTTTTTTTTCTCTTTTTTTTCAACAGCAGAGGTCAGGTCATATAAGCCCTCAGGGTCCCGGTGTTTTTAATAAGAAAAGCCCATTTGTAAATATGTCAGCTTCAAATGGATTCGAACCTGGGACCTTACAGTGATGAGCGCCGTGTCAACGCCTAAACGGTTGCGGCCACTGACGCCCCCAGTTAGGGGTATTGTTAAGTTATTTAGTTTTTCTACTAGATCTATTGTCTTTATAATGCAAAATGGGTAGTCAAAAAACACGCGAATAGAGACATACCCAGTAAGTAACCGTATCCTGGTTCAATATGAGTTCACCGAGTTGCAGACCAATACCACCCATTATCAACTCAACAGTTTTTCTTACAATAAACTTTTTTTAAACCAGCACAGGGTCTGTCCCCACTTGTGGACACATACATTTTAAGTAACATAGCCTGACTTGCTGTGTTAAAGTTGATGTTTGGTTTTGGTCTGCGAGTCAGTGAACTCATGTTGAACCGACTCGCAGTCCAAAACCCATCATCAATAAACTTTTTATTTGGAATATACAATAAAAATTCTAATTATTAAATAATATATTTTTATCACAAGACCTTCAAATTAGTAAAATATCTTTGAGCTTTAGAAGAACAAAATTTTTGAAGAACTTGCAGATCGTGTTATTTGGCTGCAGATGGAAGCTTTTCTTGTTAAAGGCAATAGGAAAATGAAATTTGCCTTTTTTGAGTGCATTCAAAAACATTTTCGTTTTTTCTGTTTTTGTGAGTTTCCTCAATATTTAGGATCAGACCTGAGATCCATTCTGGAAAATTAATCCTGCATCGTTATCACACATTAATTCTTTGATAAGCTGGACCTTGAAGGGACAGGTTAGTGGAAATATGCAGGCCTGGGTTCTTGATTGTTATTTTATTATTATTGTTATTTTGATCAAACTCCAAGTAGGAATGTGTGCATACTGGGAATTCAACTTCCACAGACTTAAAACGTTTCTACAGAGTACTATACACTGTAGTACACGTACACAAAAAGAGGCCAATTCTTATGTTGATCTCTGCACAAATACATGCCACCTGTTGGCTTGGACTCCTTTTTCTCCCTGGACTGTCTGGGAAACTCTTTCCTTCCTAGCAGTTTATTATTTGTAAAGTATTCCGGAAAGCTTTTTAATCGTTATTTCTCTAAAAAATGACAGGCGGTTTTTAAATAACCAACTTCAGTAAAAATAACAAGTAGTAACTGGATGTTATCGAGGTCCCAGTTTGTACTGCTTGACAGTGATGTTTAATTTTGTATTTTTATTTTATCTATCAAGATTTATAAAACAAACTGAATTCTTTGTGTTGTATAAATACCCAAAATATCTGTATAGAATGTAATGAACTTAGCTATTAATAAAGTGAATATATTATCGTTTCAGAATACATTCGAGCATTGGGGAGCACGGCTTGGCAAAGAAAAAAGAAATGATAAACTTAAATTTGCACCAGTGGTATTACGAAAAAGCAGACAACAAATAAAAAGTAATTTGAATTGGGCATTATTTTATTATAAATTCAATCATAATCACTCTCTTCCTAATTTAATTTGGAATCATAAGGTATATGCATATCATTTGTTTTATTTGATGATAGTGTTGAATATTTTGCCTTATTGTCATTTTATTTTATTTTTTATCAAGACTCGAGATGAATTAAGAAATGCTTTAGACAAAGAAGTTAAAGCATTTGACGCCAATAGGGAACTCACAAGAGGAAATGTAATCGCTTGGAATTACTCCGAATTTGAAGTTATATATGCTAGTCTAAAAGATCAACTCTGCATCGATGGATATTATATTAAAGTACTGTTGGATTGTCGAAAAGCTCCTGAGTCACTGTCTAACATTTCGTAAGCAATTAAGATACAAAAGTACTGTTTTTTAATTCAAATCTAACGATTAATCATTGTTTTCAGAACGAGCTTTTTTAACAATTTGTATCACCGATTTCTAGTTCCAACGGCACCTGAAATAAAATGTATGTGCCTTGAAGCATTAGCCATGGTGTATGAATGTTATCATGAAAGTATAGGTTATTTTTCTGATACAAAACATATTGTTAATATGTTAGAAAGGGTAAATCTAGTTATATTATATATTATGCTTAAATAGACAAGGATATAATATAATTTTTTTAACAATTTCAGACAGCTGATAGATTAGAGCGTGATAGGCTCATACTTTTTTTAAAGACTTTAACCCACAATAAGGCTAATGTTAAAGATATTATAGTGAATTCTTCAGGTATAACGATTCTTGTAGATCTCATGACACTTGCACATCTACATACTTCCAGGTATATCCTTAATCACATGTTTTGTATTCTTGGGTGTTTTAATATTTACCCAACTTTTTACCTCATGTTTTTTCTATATAGCCTAATCTGTATAGTCTTTAGTATAATGTAAATTTACATCTTAAAGAGTTAAGTGAATTAAGATTATTATCAGTTTATTAAATAATTATATGTTTTATATGTGTATGCTTTATAATAAATTATTATTACTTTAAAATAAATAATAAATATAATAAAATTATTATAAAATAATTATTATGTATTTTAGAGCTTACGTTCCTACACAAACTAACGTGATTGAATATGGAAATTCTTTTGAAAGAGAACAGGAAAAAGAATGGCATTATTGTAGTACATCTGAAGAAAGGAAAGAAGATAATAAAAATCCTCGTAATTCAGTTTCATTTAAAGAGGTAACATTTTTAAAAGTAAAGGTTTTCTTCTTTTTTCTAGTAATTTCTTCATTAGGAAAATGTATGCTTAAATTTTGCATATCATGTATTCATATATGTTTTCATATATGATTAACCTGCTACAATCTAGTATTCTCACAGATAAAAGTAGTTGGGATGTTAAAGCCATAAGGTGTATGTGGTGGTGTTATCCACTCCACCGAAACATCAAATCTAAGCCTGTTTTCTTCGTCAACAGATAAATGTGGTCTGTTTGCTATAAGGTTAAGGATTTAATTAAGGTCCTCCACACAGTACTAATATTTGTCTATTGTGCAATCTCCATTATTATTTAGTGCTCTTTAAAGACTTTAATTAAGGCTTTTTATCAGTTCCCAAAGTTTTGTTCCCAAGGTTTTCAGACTCAAAGTACACTATTTGATTGAGATTCAGAAGGTATGATGTAAAGTCAAGTTGTAATTAGATTAAACAAGGAATTTAACCCTTTATAGGGCAGTTAAGGTTAAGAGTGTCTTGTGCCTTGTGACCAATGTTGGTCGTCTATTGTGCAATTCCCATTATTATTTAATGCTCCTCATTAAGTCTAAGGCCTTTTATCAGATCCCAAAGCTTCATTAACTGTTAAGGGCTATCTTGTGTATCCTTCAGGCCTTGGCTTTTCCCCTCCCTGGAGTAGGAATATCAGCCTGCAGAATAAGCCTTCATACTAACAGAGGACATGTTGCACAGTTCGTTCTTTCTAGCAATATATGCGCAGGTTTCTACTACAACCTTAATCGGATCGCTAGAACCCCTTTTAGCCTACTCTGACCGACCCGCCTATTTTCTCCTGAATGAGGATGAAAGAGTCACCTGTTAGTAACAGGGCGATCTCCACGGGCACTATGAGGAAGATGGTGTTGGACTTTTGTCCCCAATATTAAAACAAACGTGATTTTCTTTTTATTTAAAAAAATTGCAAACTACCCCTCTGAGATCATTAGGCATTTATTCATAAACAATAAGATTTTTAATGATCCACTAATTTAAGGTTGAATACTCATTCATAATTAATATGAATAAATGAGTCATTATTATCATCATTATTACATAACTATTTGTAATTATATTTTCCCTAGATATAATTATAAAATTAATTTTTAAAAAAAGTTTTGTTCTATTCATGAATTTATGATTTATAGCTAAAAGAGTTGTATAACAAAGGGGTAATTAACAACAAAACAAAATGTTGGGCTCAAGGTATGCACAATTGGAGACCTCTTCAAAACATAACCCAACTTAAATGGACACTTCTTGCCAAAGGAAATTCTATTTTAAATGAGAGTGAACTTGCTATTACAATCCTCAATATGATGATTAGAATGATAGAGTATTATCCAAGCAGGTATTTATACATGAACATTTATTATGTGTAATATGTCTGTAGCACATTATTAATCAAACAATATTGCTTTTTAAATAACATAATTTGAATTAAAAACAGAATATAAATAATGTTAATTTCCCTATTTCATGCTTTACACTCTCATGTTTTCTCCACTTCACGGAAAAAACATTGAATCATGGAAATGGGACCTATACCTACCTCCTTATCCTAAGCTACCCCTAGCCTAATCTAACTATAACCCTACCAACCCTAACCTGCCCTCAGTCACACCTAATCTGATCTAACTTGTATTATACCTAACCTTTAACCTAACCTTACACGATGCATAATTGATGATGCAAAATGGTCACCCAAAAATTTGTATATTCAGCCCAAAACATACCCTTTCTAACATTATCTTAAATTATACATAGTCAAAAAAGATATCATGGAGTATGTGAGGGTCAGTTTCAACTAGATCATTGGTTTTTCTTTTTGAAACGTATAGAGAAAGACTATCCGTTAAAACTGCCTTCACATATGTGCTCAACTATGTAGGCTTGTTAAAAATAATGGTTTATCAAAATCAAACTAAAAGAAAAGAGAATGTATAATAAAATAAAACATTATAACGAAGTTAGAAATGAAATTAAAAAATAAAAAATGTACACCTTTAAGTAAAAGAAAAAAAATGTATTTATTTTTTAAAACAAAATTTTTTAATTTTGGTGAAAAATTACAATTTTGGAATTACTGGCTTTGGCAAAAAAAAAAAGGTTAAAATGTATCGTTCAAAAAGGCACCTCATGTAGACTTGAATTTTCCGGGATCCCAGGTTTGCCATTCCAAGATGGCCGCAAAATCTCTCTTGCTGGACAGTTGTACTACTTATTAGCTGGAGCAGCTGGCATATCTCTCAAAAACGCCTCACTACCTCAGCTGAGTAGTTTGTTTATCCTGTATCCCCTCTTTCTTCCACACCACCTTCGGTCCTACATCACACCTCTAACCCTTTCTCAGGGCGAGACGATTCCCAATAAATGGATAACATCATAGGGAAAATCCAATTTCAAATTATGGTGAAATCGTTGCAAGTAATAGGCTTTTTTAAATAAATTATAAATAAATATTTATATAATGATGGAGGGGGTTCGGTGTGGTAGAAGTGCGAAGTTTGAAATAACAACTGGTGTAAAGCAGGGATGCCTACTGAGCCCCCTACTATTCTCGCTCTTTCTAAATGATTTAGAAGAATTTGTGGATGGTGGTGGAGTACAAGTTGGAAAAAAGAGGATTAATGTTCTTGCTTATGCAGACGACATTGTCCTCTTAGCGACACGTCCCAACTCTCTGCAGAGAATGATAAACTGGTTCAACGATTATATGGATATGTGGGATTTACAAATGAATCTAAGAAAATCCAAAATTGTGATATTTAGGAATGGAGGAAGACCGGCCAGAAGTGAGAAATGGTCTATGGGAGGAAATGATATTGAGGTGGTAAATGAATATATCTACCTTGGAGTGAACATAACCTCACAACTCTCATTAAAGAATAACTTTGTAAATAAAGTGAATAAAGCCAAACAAGGGTTGGGAGCTATCTGGACGGTCATGAAGCAGGAGCATATTGGTATTGAAGCCAACTTTAGAGTGTTTGATACAGTCTTCAGATCCATAGTCTGCTATGGTGTACAGGTATGGGGAGGGAAAGAATGTAGGGAGGTAGAGGTATTTCACAAATACTTTATAAAGAAGCTGTTTAAATTACCATACAGCACCCCTTCAAATTTCCTCTATATGGAGACCCATCGTAATTTAATGTTCCACCATATACTCCAAATCCACCACGATTACGGTTACACACGAATCCGTTATCTACACACATGTATCTGTTCATATAATATAACAATTTTTTTCGAAGTCCTGATGAAGGCGATATATTCTGCCGAAAGCTCGACAAGAAAATAAATGTTGTTTCTGTCTTCCTGGCCTCATCCCCAATCTACCTTTAGGAAAGTATATTTAAACTGAGAAGGCTGATAAAACACCCAAGAAAATATTAAAGAATGGGTGAGCTTCTTTAAGATTATTCAAAATTTATATACCCTACAATGGCGCCGAGAAATTCTAGAGGGAGTAAGGAAAACAGAAAAATACCCTCTGTATCAGGAGTTAAATTTTGATTTAAGCTTCTTGCTGGCAAAGCTCCCATGGTCGTACTTAAAATGGGTAATGGCAGGAAGAAGCCAAACTCTGAAACTCAAACAACAACCATACAAGGAGATACAGATGGGGTATCCATTGTGTAATGACCAGTACGTGGTAGAAGTTCTGTTTCACTTCCTCATGGTCTGTCCCAGACTATCCGATTTAAGAATGGCCTATTTTCATGACAGTAAGCCTCCAGCACAAAAAATGATCAAATATATAAATGGGGAAAATTGGGTAGTGCTTGTGCATTACTGCAGAGCGGCTTAGAATTTGAGTGCCAAAATAGTATAAGGGTAATTTGCTTGTTATTTATTAGTTATCTTAGTTATCCCTAAATTATTGTTATTGATCTTTGTTTTATTTTGGTTTGATTTACTTTACTTTATCTTCACTTATTTAAATTATGGTTTTACATCGATATGAAGTGTAAAAGAATTTAGTAATTGTTTAAAAAGAAATAATATGATTTATGTACAATTGTAGATTAGCCCTAAAGTTAGTATTTGTTTGATATTATTGTGTCAATGAAACTTTAACTGTAATGTAATGCTATTAGTTTAAAAGAGAATTATTTAATTTAATTATGAAATAAAAGAAATGTAATAGGTCGCAAGGTCAACTCACCCACAACGGTCTGCACAACCAGTGGCAATGCATGTCTTTACTTTTGTAAATAGATCATAATAACAACATTATGTAACAAGATTGTAAAAAATAAAGTCACTTATCTATCTATCTATCTTATATAAAAGAATTATAGATCAAGGATTTCATGGTGTGCCTTACCTTGCATTATTTAACTTTTTTTTAATATTATTATTAAAATCACTAGCCCAACTACATAAACAGTTTTATATTAATTCATGTATAGGCTTCAGACATATTGACTTTTTTCCTCCTAGTTTAAAGTGGACAGCACTTTTGACTTTACTTATTCCAGAATGGAACTTGTTGAATTGCTCTTTATAATTAACAGTCGCCCTGGGGGGCCGCGGTAGCCGAGTGGTTAAGGCGTCAGACTCTCGGTTAGTAAATCCCGAGGTCGTGGGTTTGATCCCCTCCGTCGCCTCTGGACTTTTTTCTGACGCCTAAGGGGACCGGTGGCCGCAGTAGAAAGAAATTGACGGCACTCATCAATGGAAGGGGCGGGATCAGATCTCAGTGACCCTGAATTTGGTCCCAGCCTACTTCAAACATGAGTTTCTTCGATGGAAGAACACCGGCACACCGGGGGCTCAATTCACACTCGTGATGCAAGCCCCCAAAAATGGAGCCAGGGATAAGGTACAATAAGCTGAACAGCTGCAGTGCTCAGGGGGAACTCTTCCAGTTCCTGCTATCCATTGTTTAAAAAAAAAACAAAAAAAAACAGTCGCCCTATTTTCTTCTGTCCCACTGTCATGAACAATTGGGATTGTCCTTAATCATACCTTTTCCTAAAAGTAAACTACGTATAAACTTGTTTCCTCCCTTATTCTTCCCCACTTTGATTATGGATGTGTTGCATACGAGAGACTCACTGAGAAGCTTGGAAGATATTTATATTTGGCTCCCTTAGAAGGTCCTGCATGAATGATCTATACACAGATTTTACGTTGTTATATTGTTCCTTTGCAGAAATGTCTTCTCATTCCCTGCTGTGCATTCTCTTCAACTTCCTCTTAACACTCCCTTCAAATTCGCTCCTGCTCTCTTGACTCCTTAAACACAGAACTACTATGTTCAGAGAGTCAATAACCAGATCAAGATGCTCAAATGGCTGCAGTTTAAAACAAAATATGTGCGAAAGAAGAGAAAAAGAAGGAAAACACACAGAGGGTCGGCAATGACCTCAGCTGTTTGTCGGCCCATAAACTTCCCATCTTCCCTTCCTCATTCAAGCCCCCACCCTATAGAATTATCTTTCTCACTCTATCCGTCATGCCATATTGACAGGTCTTCTTTGCCTCCTTTCAGAATTATATCTCTATGATTTCTTTCAATTAACTAATCTTTTTATGTAAGGTTTTGGTTGAAATGAAAATGCTAGTGTCACAAGCAGGATTCAAACCCACGACCTTTGGCTCAATACGCCACTATACTAACCACTTGAGATATCGTGACTTCGACCCACTCGGACACCAACTCTCCATCTCAACCTACAATCTTTCGAATTTTCCCTCCTTAATGCCATTTTTCAAATGTTGAGTAATCAGGATTCGATTCTCAGTGACATATGAAGTGGCCACGGGGGAGCTGTTAGTAGCTGTTGGTACATAAAAAGATTAATTAATTGAAAGAAGTAATTTGGTCAATAGACTACTAAAAATATATGATTTCTATTGAAAAACAAGTTTTTTTCTGAGTTGGTAGTGTGTTTCTATCTTGAGTTTGGCTACAGGATATGTTTTTATTATTCTCTACTCAAAGTATTAATAATAGCAGTTAGTTACGTTTCATTTATTTTTTCAGGAACAAAGATAATGCGATAATATGCCCAATGAGCAAAATCAAGGAACTCCTCTCAAGTGAACATTGTATTCATCACATAGTTCAACTTCTTCTTACGTTTGAACCCATAATAGTGGAGAAAGTGGCTACTTTGCTGTGCTGTATAGCTGAAGACAATATTTATATGCCAAAATTATATACAACTGGTGTATTTTATTTTATATTAATGTACAATGGATCCAATGTTTTACCTATAGCAAAATTCCTAAAGATGACTCATTCAAAGCAAACTTTCCGGGGAGAAGAGGTAGGTAGATTAGTGGGCACTCTCAACACGACACCCAATAATAACACATCTACACAGAAAACAAACACTTTGAGCCCTGAAGATGATCTCAATAGAGATCGAAACGTTGGCACGATAAAGAAAATGTTTTTCTAAAACCTACGTCACACCAGACCGCATCTTACGATCTCCAAATAATCATTAACTAACGGTCACTAAACACCACACCAAAATATTTCACACTGATCAATTAAGAAAAAAATCTTCATATACATTCAAATCTAATTAATTAAAATTACTAATTTATTGTATTATTTCTTTAGAACTACACATCAGAATTGATGCAGAGAAGCATTCTTGGACAGTTGTTACCTGAAGCAATGGTCAATTATCTAGAAAATCATGGACCGGAAAAATTCGCACAAATATTTTTGGGGGAATTTGATACTCCTGAAGCAATTTGGAATGCAGAAATGAGGTATGTTTGAAATTATTATTATTTCTAATGAATGATTTTATGTTTTGTTGTAATAATTTTTCATAATACATTGAAATTTAATGCAAAAAAAACGTAACTGAAAAGTTTTACTCATGTACCCTCAAAGACAACAAAATCGGACACTCATATTTGGTAGAAATGATGAAGGTGGGGTGAGTAGATAGATTCACTTTTTGTAAAAAGTGGTTCTACTCACAGATTTGTTGTTTATGATTGGATTTCAAGCATTTAACGCTCAACATCAGGTTAAAGAGGATGTAATCGTAATGTGTTGACATGAATTGTAATAGTCTTAATAAATCCACCAACTTCTTTGACCCTTCCAGCTCCAATGAGAAGCTGGTTTTTAATGCCGCTCAATTTTGAACATGCAAAAAACGTGAATTACAACACAGCTAAATATTATCCTAATAAATACTGTAAGAAAATTATTTTAAATTAGTGATTAATTTGTATGTCAAATATAATTTAGTTACATGTTTAAAAGAGGAGGTAAATCAAAATCTATTATATTATTTATGCATTTATCTCTATGTTTAATTTTACATTTTTTATTTCAAATTTCTCAAACCAATCTAGTTCCCTCCCTTTATTGAAATTGTGTAACACTGTTGTATTTAAATTGAAATTGTGTTTTATTTCATTTAGATAGTCCTTAAATTCAGAAAATGTGTTCTATTTAGGCAAATGTTCTTTAACTCTCGTTTTAATTTCTCTGCCACTTTGTGCTATATACTTAATGTCACAATCATTACAATTAAGTTGGTAAACCCCGCTTTTTGCCATGTTGTCAAGCTTGTCTTTAGGTTTTGAGAGGATATTTCTAAATGAACACATACCTCTAAAAGCTATTCTAAAACCTTCTCATTTAAGAATTTTACCATCTTTTTCTGATAGTTCATCAATGTATCTAAACCTAATGATTCATTTTTGGTGTGGTGGCTGAGTCTGATTAGCTTCTTTAGTTAATTTTTTATTATTTTTACTAGCAACCTGTCGATAAATTTTTTTTTATATCCATTGTTTTTAGCTAAGGTTTTAACTGTTTGTAATCCTTTTTTATAGTTAGCAAGCGTTAAAGGGAGTGTTAACATTCGGTCTATGAACCAAATCAAACCAGCAGCCTTTTGGGTCCATGGGAGAGAAGCATCTGCTGGTATTATGGTGCCTGTGGTTGTGGGTTTTCTATACACATCTATTTCAATTAAGTTGTTTATTATGGACAATTTAAACAACCATCTTTATTTATTTCCAATGTAACATTTATACTAGGGTGTAAAGAATTAATAAATTTGAGGAATTCTTTAATATCCTCTAGTGTTCCCAACTATATACATAAAATATTGTCTACATAGCATTTACAAGAAAGGACAGATTTAATTAATTTGTTATTTGATTTCAACTGAGGGAGGAGATATATGCCGATGCCATTCTAGGCATGCCAATTAATTGATGCCACTACTCCAGAGTACAAGTTTACCAAAAAGTACAAAGTACTGATACCAGAACGGGAAGAATGGGCCAAAGGAATACCGCTAAAGGTAAACTCCTACTGGTATACTGACGGCTCCAAAACTGACAAGGGTATGAGAACTGGAGTCTTCAGAATGAACACAAGGACCGAACTGACGGTGAACCTAGGTAAATATGCTACAGTTTTCCAGTCTGAAATCGTAGCGATTGGACAATGCGCCAGAGAAATAAAAAGGCTAGGAATACATTCCCGGAAGATAGCCATTTTCTCTGCAGCCAGCCAGCACTTAGGGTACTAGCCAAGAAAGGCAAAGAGTGTTTGGAACTGCATGGACGCCCTGACGGAGAACAGTGACACTATTGACCTGACCCTGACATGGGTTCCTGGACATTCGGGGCATAAAGGCAATGAAAAAGTTGACATGTTGGCCAAAAAGAGGGCCTACATGGACTCTCTGGGTCCTGAACCCTATTGTGGCTTAGCAGCCTGCCACCAAAGAGGATACATCTTAAAATGGATCCAAAATCTGGTGGAATAATACCACAGGTATGAAGGCTTGTGAAGAGATTCATGGAAGGACCATCCGCAAAACTGATAAAGGAACTACTGAAAGGCAACTGCAACTGGACCAGGATTCTGGTTGGACTCCTGACAGGGCATTGCCACTTAAGAAGGCACATGTACCGAATAGAAGTACAAACAGAAGAAACACTGTGCAGATACTGACAAGAAAAGGAAGAGACTGTAGAACACATTCTACGTTTCTGTGAAGGTCTATGTAGGTGCAGGTTTTTGCAACTAGGGCAAGAAAAACCACAAGCAAGATCCTACTCTAAGGAGCCGCTGGCAAAGCTATGGAAGCTGATTAATAACCTGAAGCTGGCCAGTGAGTTATAAATAAATAACAGGGGAGCAAAATAGAATCTATTCAGGTCGAAGTGCAGTAGGCCTTGTCTATCCCCTACCCTATTTGATTTGAAAAAAACATTTTTAAAGTTATCCATTAATATTTCAGTACTAAGTGGGGATTATGGACCCCTTGGTAACCCTGTCATTTCATAAAATTTATTATTAAATTTACAATAATTAGTTAAATTAGCAACATCAAATGACACTAAAGCACAGTTCTTAGGTATGTTCTTTAACTGTTTTATCAATTCTAAAGAATTGTTAATACCGAAAGTACATTTGAAATTGGTGTGGGTTTTAATTATTTTATCTATTGTTATTATGAGTTTGATGAATGACAATTTTCTTTATGGATTTTAACCATACCATTTAACAGCATATTGGTCAATTGAGAATAGAAAATCAGTATTTTTTATAGCTGTTTGAACTCTAGTTTTTAATTTTAAGATGGGGTCCTTTTTTGTTTCTTTACAATCATTATTGCTTAGAAATTCTTCTAACTTCAGAAATGTAGTTTTGGTGTTCAATGATAATGTAGCACTGCTACCTACCTATCCAGTAGACAGAGAACTATTGGACCTCCCAAATATCTAATTTAGATATTTAATGTTATTTACAGTAGTTTCATTATATCTAGTTCTGTTTTTGGGACAGATTTTAAGCCTTTTTTTTAATAAATGTTTTCTTCCTTATTTAGTAGGACCGTGTAAGTTTATTGGTAAAATTTAAATGGAGTTGTTTGGTCTTTATGAATATTTTTAAGTGTACCGTACATCAAGTTTTTTTCCCATGGTATTTTGTTGAACAAGAAATTGATAAAAATGTTTTGTTTCTCTTTGACTGTACAATTTATGTAATTCATTATTTAATGTGTTTTTATGACATTTATGTTGTAAGAGAGTTGAACAGTTGTTTTTATTTAATTTAGCAAGAACGAATTTTGAGGTAAGGCTTAATTTCAAGTATTGAGATTCAAAAGAGATACAAAAATTTTCTCTTGGCTTTGAGTGTATTTTTATTAGGTATTGTCCAACAGACTAACATTCACATTATTTTTTTGTTTTAGACGCATGCTTACTCAAAAAATTGCTGCCCATATTGCTGATTTTACGCCTAGGCTGTGGAGCAATAATAAAGCTCAGTATCAGTACATAGTCATCCCAGTGGTTAAATATCCACAATTATTAAATGAACTGTTTTGTAATATCTTCTACCTAAGACATCTCTGTGATACAACTCGCTTTCCCGATTGGCCTATTAATGACCCAGTAAATTAACAAAAAATATATCAGTGTATCAATTTAATTAACAATTTTTTTAAAAATTTTTTAAGGTTAGTGTTCTCCGAGATGTTCTAGAAGCATGGACTGGCGAAGTAGAAAAAAAACCACCTGTTATGTCTTGCGATGAAGCTTATGCAATTTTAAACTTACCCACTGGCCAACATCATGACGAACCTGTCATTAGAAAGGCTTACTACCACCTTGCACAAAAGTATCATCCTGATAAGAACAGCGAAGGAAGGGTAAGTGGATATAGATTTGTATTTTAAGCTTTATATTTTTATTGTGTGTTAATTTCCAGCCCAAATTTGAAGCAGTCAATAAAGCTTATGATTTCTTATGCAGCAGAAGTTCTTGGAATGAAAATGGAATCAACACAAATAATATTATTCTTATTCTTCAGACTCAAAGTATACTATTTGATCGATATTCACAAGGTATGATATAAAGTTACGTTGTAATTAGATAAAAATAAAGGTGTCTATTCATTTATAGGAAAGTTACGGTTAAGTCGACCACTTTATCACCTTGTGTACTGTGATTAGTATTGATTGCTTGTGCAATCTTCATTATTATCGAGTAGTTTTCATTAAGCTGACTTTTTATCAGATCACAAAGCATAGTTTGGTTTTCTCTCACAAGAATAGGATTCCCAGCTTTCATAGGCCTTCATACTAATAGAGGACAAGTTCTGCAGTGTCTTCTTAGTCCTGGCAATATCTGCACAGGCTTGTTTCTGCTGCTCTGAGTTGAAGTTGACACTCTACTCTGAAGTCTGCAGTGCCCAGTCAGCATCATTTTATCATATCATTTTATATCATTCTAGTCCTAGGTTTAGTAGTTCTGCCGTGGTAGTCCTTTAATGTATTTTTTGCATGCTTCTATCTTGGAATACAATACTTTCTTAAAATTGATTTAGAAATGTCTTAAACTATTGTCTGATGATTTTTGGCAATTTGGTACGCTGCAAAAGGTTTCAGGGTTGATGGGGTCTTGATCAAATTTTTTTAGGCAGTTTATTAGTCTCCTCATTGTTACTACTATCCTCACATGTTGATAGTGCCATTTTTGAGCTAGGGTAGACACTCTGCTTGGACCAGACAGAATTGAGGTAGTGAATTAGAAATTAGGGTTGTTTAAGGTGGAGTTGATGGCAGGTCTTAAGGCAATGAGCTTCTCTAACAAAGTGACATGTCTGAATTTTCGGAGAATCAGGATAAAATATTACAATCTACAAAAAATGTGTTGCATGATTTTAAAAATTAAAAAAAAAAGTGTTGGTTTTATTGACCACTTTGTTACTCACAAATAATCTCGCTCTTTGTATGACCAAATGGATTAAATTCTCACAAGCTTTTGACCTATTTTAAGGTCCAGATTATTTTTGAACATAAATACCCAAAGGAAAAACAAAATGGCTGAATGTTTTACTCTCTATGCTATTTTGTCATAAACGTTGAGTGGTAATAAATAATTTTTTTTTAAATTTGTTAATATAGAACTTCAATAAGGAGTTATCAATAAATAATTGTCAACAACAATAATAATAATCCAAAATTGGAGGTCCCAAGCAAAAGAAATAAATATTTATGCATCTATGCTAGAGAAGTTAGCTGGAATAGAGGTGCCAAGGTCCCACTTTTTGAATAATTCACCACTCCACACATCAAATAAGTAACCCTTCAAAACTGTCGAACAAAACTTATAACTTAACATATAAACAAATGAAAACAAAAATTTTCTGTTTTTCTATGATAAAATGTTATGAGTTTACGCATTTTTTCCATTTCAGAGCTGCAACCTTACAAATATGCTGGCTACAAACAGCTCATAAAAACCATACAGCTAGAAGCAAATGATGAACATTTGTTTTCAAAACAAACATTACTCTTACAATCAGCAATTGAATTAATTTATCATACTATCAAATGCTCAGCTTTAAACGCTGAAGAATTTAATAGAGAAAATGGCTTCCAGGTAATTACTATTTAGAAATCTACAACTCAAATTAAAAATTTTTGGGCATGTGTATTTGTCTCTTCTCGTCTTTTTCTTTATCGTCACGACAAATAAGTAGTTTATTTTCATATTTTACAGGTGACTTTAGTTGCATTTGAAAGATGTGTTTCTATTCTAAGTGAATCGACTACTGACAATGATTCACTTTCACAAATATGTCTGCATTGTACAAAATCGTTCACCATCGCTGCTTCATTCCACAGTTGCAGAGAAACATTCCAGTGCCTACCAAATTTGATTCCTGATATTCTTCGAGTGTTACATTTTAAAGTAATTATTATAATTTTTTTCGATAAACTCCTTTGTTTCATATAACTATAAAGATTAATTGTTTTTTAGAACCTTATAAAGCTAAACTGTGCTGTAGTAGAGTGTGTAAGTGCTTTGACTGTAGACCCTTTTCTACAGATGTCATTATTAAATCACGGTATTTTATGGTATTTGCTTTCTTATTTATTTTTATACGACTTCACATTAGAGGAATGTGGGATAGAAAGCACCCAAGAAGATAATCAGCAGGTATTGTTTTAATTTTTATTATTGGTAATCAATCTTAGTTTGTAATTCTTTTTCATACATTTACATGTATAGCATAATCTAATAAATATAAACTACTAATTACATAAATTTATCTGTTATTTTCTCTTTTAGAAAGCATGGAATGAAATAGCGAAACTTTCAGTTGAAGCGTGTGCTCGGATTAGTGGATATAAAGATTCAAATGACAAAAGTCCGCACAATCCTAAAGTTAAAAGTATATTATCAATGCTCTTAACACCTTACTTAGCCAATATGATAATGGATGACCAGCCAGAACAGGTACAAAATTAATCTGGTTGTCCTCTAAAATTACGTTAATAATAATTAATGGGATTTCTTTCAGGTTTTAAAAATTCTAACAAGCAATTGTGAAACCCCTTATCTAATATGGAATAACAGTACAAGAGCAGAGCTAAATGAGTTTTTGGAACAAAGAAAGCAAATGAGAGATCAATCATACAATAATGTTACGTTTTCTTCCTCTGTTTATTCTTCAGAATTGATTATTGGTGGAATATATATTCGCATATACAATGAACAACCTACTTACAAAATTACAGTAATGAATAAAAATATATTTCCTTATTATTGTTTTTTTAACTTAATTTTTTTTTTCATTTATCAGAATGTCAAAGAATTTGTTCTGGATATTTTGGATTACTTAAAAGAAAACACAAATAAAACAAAACTGGAAGAGGAGAGTAATAATATTTTAATGGCACTTACAGCATTTAACCACGTTGTACATAAATATCAAGGTATTTCATCTTCAGTAATTTTTATGCTTAAATAAAGAACTAGTGTGCCTTTGTGTTGGGTTATAAAATAAGTCCGTAGCATTTTGTAATAATTTGATTTTATCCCTCTTGTGTTTTCTCACAATATTTATTTAGCCATTATTGTTTACACACTGAAAAGAGTTTTTAAATTAGTTAAAAATATTTTTATGCGTTAGTTTCCTTTGAGATCTCATATTTTACAAGGTGTTTTGCTAATTTAAAAATACAGGAAAAAATAGTGCATTTTCAACATTTAATGGTTTTTTATTCAAATGGACAATTGTCACTCACTGTCATGGAGTACATGATATTCCTCCATCTACCTGTTCACTACAATAAACTACTCTAATTTTTATAAAATTTCCGCCACCAGCCCAAGTCACGACACACCTGAGAGGCGATGGAGAAGCCTTCCCATTCACACCAATAAATGCATTCACTCATACAAAACACATTTTGTATTTTGAAGGCTATATACAATAAAAAATCCCCAATTCCTCTAAAAAACGGAACAGGGGGCCCTGAAACTCGCTACTGTGTTCGAGAACTCTTCTTAAATCCGGTGGCCTACCTACACGCTCTCTGTATGGAGTCAAGGCATGACACGCCTTTATTATGTGGGACACATCGAGCAACCTTTCTCTGCATAAGGGGCACCTGCGCGGGCTTTGGCCCAAAAGTAAGTGTCCGTGTGTCAACCACGTATGGTCAATCCTCAGTCGGGTGAGGACGATCCCTCGTCCCCTGCTCAGGTTCTTTAAGGGCCATCTACCGGTCATGCTTTTGACTCGCAAGAGCCTCTCCAACGAACCCGCCCACTGACGCTGCCATCTTTCTTTTATCATAATTTTTACTGCGTGTAGGGAGCCTGATCGCGATGGTCCGATCCGGAGGGTGGGATGTACCAGCTTTCGCCGCCTCGGCCGACATGTCCAGGAATCCAGACAACAACCACTGTTTTTCCGAGAGGCTCCTGCTCCGCGTATTTCTCTAACAAGAGTACGACGAGAGGGTCTACAGAGAACAAGGCTGAGCCCCCCTCCCCGGTCCGCACCGCCTCAAGAGCGTGCCAAATCGCGTACAGCTGTGCTGTTATACACTGCAATGAGGAGGCAACAACCAGAAGGTGGCCACTCCCTCACGCCATACACAGCACACGCCACACCATCGCCGGCCTTAGACCCATCTGTAAAAATCAGACGACAACCGACATATCTATTTCTAAGTTCAAGGAACCTAGACTTGTAGAGGTACGGCGGAGTACACGATTTGGGCAAGTTCGCCAGATCGTCACGGACAAGTACGGCCGGAAAGGTCCAGTGTGGTGTCGGCCGGTGGCCCCACCGAAGCACTGGCCATCCCTAAGGATTCACCGAAGCGAATCCCAAGGGGTCACATCCGTGAGCGAAGCCCGTCGTAGACAACTCTGTACGGGCAGTGGAGGATCTTCTTAGTGAGGGGGTGCTCTGGCTTGGCCAAGAACCTGGCCGCATAACCAAGGGTAAATTGCTCTCTCCGAAGTTCGGGAGGCAAGACCCCCAGGCCTAGATATCCTCATCCACCAGCGGGGGTGTACCAAGTCCCAAGAGCAGCCACCTAGTGTGAAAGTGTAGCAGTGTTGTGTTCGTTTTTTTTTTTTTTTTTTTTTTTTTTTTTTTTTTTAATAAAACACGTAGAAAATCACAGCCCAGCAAAAAGTGAATAATATTTAATGTGCGTTAATTTTTTTGTGGAATAGTGTATATGAAAAACATCTTAGAGGTCATATATACCTTAAACGCTCGCTGGTAACACTAATATCACTTATCAAAATAAATGTGCTTATTTTCTCTAAGAAGGGAGGGGGTGAAAGATGTTTTGTACAATGTTTCACATGTAGAAAGGTGATTGGGAAGTTCGTCCTGACATCTTTAAAAAAAAAAAAAAAAAAAAAAAAAACCATTTTACCACCCCGATTCTACTGTTGTACCACTTGTGTTATCAGGTTAAAATAAACCTGATAATATTACTATTTATATTTATAGGCAGTGTCCGATATTTACTCAATAATTTATTAAGCAACAAAGATGTTAAAACAAAAATGCGGTTGTATTGGAAGATTAATAAACCTAACAACCCAACGTGAAATCAATTATGCAAAAAACATTTGTGTATCCGGCCCAAAAATTCAGCCATGTTAAAATTATATAATATGATACTTATATTAACACACAAGATAACATATATGATATATTCTAGATGTTGCCATTCAGTGCATAGGCCAAATGAAGTTACTCTTTTCAATGCTAATGTTGGATAACTATGAGCAAATCCAACTGAAGACTTTACAGATTCTTTCTCAAATTACTAAAATACAAGAGTGTGTCAATGATGTGGCTGCGTGTGGAGTTCTGTTAGACTTGTTACTTGTGTTATACAGTCTGCCTACTCACCAATCAATAGCTTTAAATATTCTCCACAACCTGATCACCTCTTCTGCGATCGTTAAGGAGATAATTACAAAAGGTAATTTGACATATTAATTTAGTAAATAGATAAACACTTTTATATTTACAGGTGGTGTACAATATTTACTGGATATTTTATTAAACAGCAAAGACATAGATGTTAAGACTAAAACTGCAGTCGTATTGGGAAGATTGATAGAAGACAAAGTTTCTGGGCAAAGAATTAAGTTAAATCTCCTCCAAGCTCTACCCGATGCGATATGTGATGCACTGGTCGATTCATCTGACATGGCTATCACCATTTTGCTTAACAATCAGGAAAATCCTGAAATAATTTGGAATGATGTTCATAGAGAGCAATTATCGAAGATTATATCTGAACATTGCAAAAAGTAAGCTGAGAAAGTAAAAAGTGAGCATTATTAAGTTGTAAATACTAACATGAAACCTTCATAGGCAATACTGTGTTCAAAAACAAAATCCTGATATAGCTGTTAAAATGCCTGACTTGAGTAGTATAAACAGTACCAATGAACTGTTTATTGGCAGAGTTTATCTAAGGCTTTATAATAACAATCCAACTTGGAGTCTTCGAAAACCTGTAAAATTTCTTTCAGATTTACTCGATGCACTAGTGAAAATCATGCTTAAACCACAGGTAATTTATTTATTTATTTTTGTGAAAGTTAAAACAAATATAAGTAAAATAATCAAAACTTCTGACTTTTGTTTAAAAAAAAAAAAAGTATCATTTGGTTCATTAAGTAATTGGCAAAATCCTAATGGTTTTTTTTTTAATTGTGAGATCTTTCCATGTGATCTGCGGGGTGATGAACCTATGATTTGGTCTTTACCAATTGTTGGGTTGAATCCTTTTAAAAAGATAGTTACTACTCACCGTAACACTGCACTCACTCCACCATTCGTCATTTCTATTGTTGGTCTTATAAATGGCAAAATGTCGAAATGCATGACAGACCGACCTGTGAGGATAGCCAGAGCAAAATGATTGACAACCAAATTTCTTTTTTGACATTTTCTTGACCAATAGATCCTACTGTTTAAATAATGATTATTCGGAGATCGTGAGATGCAGTCTAGTGTGACATAGGCTTTAGAAAAACATTTTCTTTATCGTGCCAACGTTTCAATCTTTATTGAGACCATCTTTAGGGCCTGGGATTTACGAACATTGTTTAAATTTAACAAATACATGTAGGATGTGGAACAGAATGAAATTATACAATGCAAAAAAAATTATATTCAATCAAAGTATTTATACTCACTCAAAGTGTTTGTTTTCTGTGTAATTGTGTCATTCTTGTGTGTCTTGTTGAGGTGCCAGTGAGATATTGCTGTTTTAAGTTTATATACGTTGGATTTTGAAGGGATGGGGGAAGGAAGTCAGGATAGAAAGACAATTTTATATGAGGAGTCGGCTTCTTTGAGTTGAAATGGGAAAAAACGTGGGCAATGGTTCAACTTGATTATCCTTTCAGGATTATATAGACGGGGATAATTATGGAAAGGAAAGCCAAATTGTTGAAGAATTAGACTATATAGAAATGTTTGATGTGTGTTATGTGATGATTGTTTTATGTTGTATTATATGTTTTGTATGATGTGATGATATATTTATGTTATCAATATTGAATTTGATTAATGATATTAGCGTAGCTGCGACTAAGTTTACATGCGTCTGTTCTGTAATTGATACTGTGTTTATCCCTGTTGATGTAAACCATTTCTAAAAAAATTGCTTTAATTAATTATATAATGATATTGTCTGTTTATAGAGTGACACTTTAGATCCAGTGGGAAACGCTTTAACCAATGTTCTTACTTACAATACTGTCATAACTAATGATATACCTGCGTTAGGACATCTCCCCAAATTGTTTTCACAGTGGACATTGCCGAATGCCAACCTATCAAAGCATCTGCTGAAAATGTTCAATTTGATTTTTGCAAATGAGGTAAATTATTTTTAATTTAAAATTATACATGCGCTTGGTTTATTAAATGATCCCCATATAACCCCCCTATTTATTTTGATAATAATCAACTTTTTAACTATTTTTGTTTGTTAATTATATCAACTTATGATAATGTTCATTGGTATTTTTCATTGTTTTCTTTCAATTTTTAATTATTGACAGAAAGCATAGATTGAGGACACTGTTGTGGAATAAGAACAATTTCGGGTCCACATTTGTTTTTATTTAGATTGGTTTTACCTTTTATTTTATAATTTTTTATTATATAATAATATAAATAACTTTTTATTATATAATAATATAAATAACTTTTTATTATATAATAATATAAATAACTTTTTATTATTTTAAAATAATTATTGACCAAATAATAATAAGTACATTTTTTAACGGTATACAATAAATAATCCAAGTCTTTTTTAAATAAAAGTCAGCTAATAAATGTACATATTAACAAATGTATACATTTTAGATTTGTGTAAACAGTATTTCACAAATAGACTGTATAAGCTGCATTAAGGAAGCAATAAAGGCACATCCTGAATTAACCGACATAGGTTGTGACTGCCTAAGCAAATTATTTTCGTTTAAGCACGAGTCTCTTATAAAAACGGTAATTATTTTTATTTCCTATATTTTGAATTAATGCAGGTACAAGAAGTTATATGTTTACAAAAAATATGTTTTAGGCATTGGAGACAGGTTTAATTTCTTTTTTATTGGGACTCCTTGGAGATAATTTGAGTTTATCAGAAAATCCAGCCCGTGCTAAAGCGTTCATCGTTAAAGCTTTGAAAAGTATGATTTCAAGTGTGACTTACGGATCAAATGTGGAAGCTGCTTTAAATAAATCGCCAATTTGGTCTGCATACAGTGAACAAAAACATGACTTATTTATAACAAATTCAACCAGTGCACCTTATCTCACAGGTAAATTGTTGATTTATTATTTGAATAGAGTAGGTGTGGGACTTTTTGTTTCACAAAAATGACATGAGATAAAAATCAGTCTGCAGTTTCTCCAATTTTAGTACATTTTATGAAAATCCCAGTGGTTCCATGGACCCGAAATTTCTGTAGCATGTTATCGCATTGTTATTTAGCATCCTCTCTCATGTGCACCATGGTGGTCACTTCAAGCAGGATCCAACACATTTGAAATTAATAATAACGATTATTTCTTTTGATAATAAAATTTTTTTAGACTTAATGAAGTGAAAAAATTGAATATTTATTCCATTAATTTAATAATGATTCAATGATTACAAAAATAGGTAAAATGATAAAATATGATGGAAAATATATTTTAAAATGTCAAATGTATCCACCTTTTTACTCATGAATAATCTGGATCTTGGTTTGGATGAAAAACAAATCTGTCAAGCTTTCAACCTATTTTAAGGTCTTCGTCAGGGCAAAACAATCCTGATGATAACCTTAAAATAGGTCAAAAGCTCCGCTGATAACAATTGAATTTGCTTTTCATCCCATACCAAATCTAAATTGTTCATAAATATAATGTTCCCATGTTAGAGCTAGACAGACATTGTTTTCCATGATCTGGAAGGATTTTTGTTACTCTCCAGTCATGTGAAATCTGGCCTCCACAGTAGGGAAATACATTTTGGTATTACTTTTATTTTCTTTTTCCAGCCACTTACGATTCCATTATGTGTTCTGTCAATTACCCTCTTCACATGAGAAATTAGTAGTAAGGTAAAAATTTGTCGCTCCCTGCTGCCTTTTTTGCGCTGCGGGAAGCTTCTTCATTCCCTTCAATGCCCCCCAGGTTAAGCTGAATTTATATCCCTTAATTTCAAGTTTTGTTATAAGTTTCAGCACTTTTTGGGCAGTTACTGTTTGTTTTCTGAATTCTAATGCCTACCTGATTTTACATTCTTTTTGATAACATGTTTCTTAGACCCATTTTAATGCTTTTAAAATGGCTAATTCAGCCTGATTGTGTGAGCATTGTGCTGTCGATGTAAAACGTATGGCATTTTATTTCATCTTCATATGACAGAAATGCACAGCCTGGGTCCTCTGTCAATTTTTCTTCCAAGAGTGAAGATCTAGCAATCACATTCTTGTACCTTCCTTGTTTCAGCTGAATATGTTCATTCTTGATAATTACTGGCCCCAAGTAGATTTGGCGGTCCTGCCCAGTTTCGAGAACGTGCATCTGGTCATTTCTCTTATTTTGGTGACGTGATGGGATGGGTTGAGTTTGTGTCCCAGTTCCGCTCCAAGATATTTAACTTTTACACTTGGCGTTATTTGTTTACCTTCGATTGTTACGATTGGAGCCGTTATGGCTTTTCGTTTGAGTAGTAGTGTATGGCATTTGTCTGAGGATAACTTTAATTTTGTATATGCTTAGAAACCACTTGTGCTGGTGTGGTGTATTTAGTTGAGATTTCCACCCATCTGTCCCCAAAATAGCTCGCGATCAATCGGAAAATATTTTGTGGGCAGCCATATTATTTTAATTCGTTCAGTAGGATGTACCATTCTATAGAGTCAAAGGCACCTTGGATGTCAAGAAAGATTGTTAGGACATATTTGTGTTTACTGTCCTATCATATAATTTGCATAGTGCGTCTTCTGTCGACATGCCTTTCCGTGCTCCGAATTGTCTTCGCGATAGCTGGGTGTCTACTGTTGGGTTTACTTTTGACAGCAGTAGTTTTTCTAGGATCTTTCCAATGACTGGTAAAGAGCAAATAGGCCTGTATGAGCTTGTTTCATCTATTGGTCTGTTTCCTGGTTTAAGCAATTCTTGCTTTTTTCCAAATTTTTGGAAAGTGTCTAAATCCTAGTTTTAGACAATCATTGTACATGCTAGTTAAAGTAGGGAATATTGGCTCGCTTTTGACAATTATTTCGCTGGTGATTGTATCTAAACCTGGTTTTTCTTTTTCAAAGATGCTATCACTATCTTAACATCATCAATTGTCCATGGAACACAGTTTACGTACAGCAGAGTGATTCAGGAGTTGGTTAATTTTGTCTTATATTTTTCTACTGATGCCTTGAAAAATCCTTTTAGGAGGGTTGAGGATTTTTCTTGTGTGGATACCGTGTGAAACCCATTTCTTCATATCGATTCTATGACTCCTTCAGTTTTGAATTTATCCATGAGCTATCCGTTCTCTCCTTCTCCACGTAATCCTTCCAGCTCTTTAACTTAATTTGTTCTATAGATTTAGCAAATTCTCTTTTTGCTATTATGTATTCAAGTTTCTGATGGCTGGGTCTCTGGTCTGTTGGTAAGCTCGTCTTCTATAATCAGGTAATTTAAGAGTCAAATCCTTATTCCACTAGGGTTTTCCTTTTAAGGTCCGCTTCCTTCTTCATGGGATTGTTTTTTCGCACGCTTTTAGGATCGTGTTTGTAATTACATTTGCAGTATATTCAGTCTCACTTGGCATTCCTGTGTTGCGGGAGTCTAAGTCTTCTTCGATGATTTGGCTCTCTAGGAGACGGTAGCCTTCCCCATCAGCATTTTTGGTGGAGAATCCTCTTACATCTTGGTATGCTGAGTAGTTTTTGCTTATTTCTATAAGGATGACTCTATGATCACTGCTTGTCCAGTTTTCTTTTAGTTCCCATTTGCATATATCTATATATAAGGCATGAACCGGTTACAAGGCGATCTATCACGTACTTTGCTTAATTGGTTTATCAACCTTATTAATTTTATTATTGATTCAAGAAAGGTTTACATAACATTCAGAATATATTGGAATTTTATTTTCCATTGGTGTAATATCTGTGATTTATAATTTTATTTTTACACGTTTAGGCCCTACTACAGCTGGATATCTAACTCAAGGTACTAAACCAATGCCAAGCGTGCCGCCACCTGTTGAAGACATTTCCCACAAGTAAAATATCTATGCAGTTATATATATGTAATATATAAATATATGTAAAATTATGCAATAATAAAATAACATGTTCCTACCAATTATATAGAATGTACTATAACCTTATAGAGTAATGAAGAATGATAGTAATTAAAGTTTAGGGCAAAGAAGTTATATCCATATTTTTGAATGTATATAATTTCATGTGATATTCCATGCATTTTGTTGATATATATTGTCATTGGTAAGAAATATTGTTAATATACAAATAAAATCTAGTTGTTGTAAATGTATTTCTATTATTTTGGTTAAAAACCAATTGTCACAAATGTGATACTTTTTTTATTTTTTTGCTTAAAAAAAATGTTTTAGTAGTTAGTTGTGTATAAATCATTACTATTCGTCTTGGAAATTGGTTAAGATTTGTATGATTTTATAAGGACAGAAAGGAAAGAGAGCTAACATGTAATTATTAGAGAAGGTGAAAAATAAATTAAATTTATATTTAAAAAAATGTAATGACCATTTGATAAAAATAAATTTAAAAATATAACGATTGCACAAGTAATATAATAATAAAAATAATAAAAAGACAGTGTTCTTTACAAATAAATGTGCTTATCGATTTATAGTGTTTCTTTGAATTTTTTAATTATTTTTATTCATAAGAGATTATACATCTTGTCCCAGTTTATGGGTTTGCATTAAACTATTACAAAGTAAAAAAGTCATAAACATTGAATTCTAAGACGAGAAGTTTAAAAACATGATTTCTTTCCCATTATAAATAATGCTTTCCCTACCAATAGTGCCTTATTAAATGCCTTATTTTTCAAGATTATACTATTTGATGGTTTTTTATGTAATTCATTACCAGAAAAGCCTGTACATATTTTGTTCCAAGCAAAATTTTCTTTAATGAATATAATATACAAATAATGATGCCCAATAATAAGCAAAGTGTGTAACTCCTCATATATGTTAATCATGTTACAAAACAATATTGTATTTTCACATAAAATATATATGTGTATATATATTAGATTGCATATTATTTAATTACATTATTAAATCAAATTTCCACTTCCAATACAATTCATACCAACACATATTGATATAGATAATAGTAGTACTGATACTGATTTAAATAAGCTCAAATCTGCTCATGTATGTACATACATGTGTCACAATCTGTTCTCGATTCAACAAGACGGGCCCAACTCTGAATCCTTTTTATGAGAAACAGAGCCCCAGAGGTCTTGATCGAACCTGAATAGAGCCGATCAGGAGCCTTTTTATAATAAAATTTAATTAAAGTTTGAAAACAATTTATTAATCACACAAGAAAATAACAATTAAAACCAATACATTTCCTTTTTAAATTTTAAACAAACAAAACTTTTTAAATTTAAATAAACAGTAATTTCCTGCAAAGCGTTTGCCAGACCATTTAGAACAAGGGTGGATATGTACTCACTATTTACATTCAGCCTGCAGTGGACCGAAGCACTCTATTTTAAGGAATACAACACTTTTTTTATTCTTTTGAGGATCGCACACTCCTTTTGTCTATCATCTACACGGAATGGCTTGTTCACCTCTCCTCGACTGTCTCTTCCCTATTCTCTTTTATTTTTTACTCTAGGCCTAATCACGAAATCTAAATCATAACATTGTCACTGAAATAAATTGAAATGTGACACGTACAAATTTGAGCCTTTCACTTCTCGTGGCTTTTATGTGTACTGGAGACTAGAGAGTAACTGCAGAAAGTGCGTTCATGCATTGAAATCTCCTTATTAAAAAGGTGACGTCTTTTTCTCCCTCCAGGTTGTTCTTGGACTTACAAAATTTCATCATTTCCATAAAAAATGAAGAAAAATATAAACACTTGAAATAATAATTAAAACAATTATTATATTCACTAATTTCGTGGTCCGCTTGACCAATTAATACTTTACAATTAATTAAGGTTTTTTGTTGAGATGAAAAAAAGTTAATGGCACGAGAGGGATTCGAACCCACGACCTTCGGCTAAATACGCCGCTGCTCTACCACCTGAGCTATCGTGACCTNGATGGGGAGTTGATGTCCGAGTGGATCGAGGTCACGATAGCTCAGGTGGTAGAGCAGCGGCGTATCTAGCCGAAGGTCGTGGGTTCGAATCCCTCTTGTGCCATTAACTTTTTTTCATCTCAACAAAAAACCTTAATTAATTGTAAACAATTATTATACATAAACATTTGTGTAAACATTTGCCTTCAATACCCTCATGTCCTGGCACCTGTGTCAGAATTATATTTCAGGATCCAAGAGTTGGAGTGTGTAAAGCCTTCAATGCTGCTTGGCTGTCTGAGCATTTTTTAAATATATTTTTAAGTATTTCTTGCACATAGTTTGTATTGCATGGATCTCAGCTTGGAAATTTGGCGTGTGGCTAGAGGTTTAGCTAGGTCAAAGTTTGCGCCTTTTATTCTTTCCTCCCGACACTCCTTACATCCACATTTATTTTGTCTTGTTTTCGTTTTTCGAAGAAGGAGGTAAAACTAATTGGTCTGTATGATTTGGGTAGGTTTCTCTTCCTGAAGGAGAGCAGAAAATATACCATTTTCTTTCGATTTATCAGGCTAAAATGACTTATAATAAAACCTTCCGTTTGTGAAAAGATTCCATCTGGGTTCGTGAGGAAGCTTACCTGCCTCCTTAGACTATCCTTGGCTAGGTCTTTGTGTATGCATTCACACTAAGGTGTTTCTTAAGTTTATCGTAGAATGTCCACCACGAGTCCCATTTAGCTTTTTGGATTTCTTTATTGAACTGAGTCAGGGCATCTTTGTATGTGGCCCACTCATTATGGGCCTAGCTCGGTTGAATAGTGTCCTTACTCTCAGTCGTTCTAGGACCACCAGACAATTTTGTATTTATTTTGCCTATCTTTTTTGTGCAGTTTACTGGGTAGGAGCTCACTATGGCACTGGTCACCTCATGCACAGAAATTCTAGGCTTTCCCTGTATCTTAATTCCTTGTTTAACCCCTGTAAGGATTGTTGGAGGGTTTTTATACCCGTACTAGTAGTGTTCCTGGGGTTTCTATAGGTTTATAACATGAGAGAGGGAGTGTTCAAATCAAATCTGATATGCCTATGATCAGAATTTGATGGTACCCTGGATACATTTCGGTTTAAAATATTATTAATCACCTCTTGAGAAATAATGGTCAAGTCTCTAAGATTTCCTACCTACATGAGGTGATAAAGACGGGTTCTGTGCCTATATTAGCAATATTTAACCCTTCATCACTTAGGTTAGTGATAAGGATTCACCTCGGTTGTTGATGTGTGTTCTTCCCGTGTAATACAGTGAGCATTTGCATAACATCCCAAATCTAGTTTCATGTTTTGCCTCCTTGAGTACCTCACTATGACATCCAGCCAACTTGGGTGGGCATTATTCCTCTTTTTAGAAGTAGGCTAAGCAGATTAACCATCTCTTTCTCCACCGGCAGTCTTTGCTGTTAGGACTGCTGTAACAATGTCACTGGAACATAGTATTAGTGTGCAGCTAATTCTTTAATTAAATGCTATACAAGCCTGGGGTCTTAAAGATGCCCTTTGGTATATTACCTGTATTTATTGGGGTTCCTCTTATATTCCCGTTATTTACTCAAGCTCTTGGACCATGGCGACATCCAGGCCCTCCCTGACAAACCAACTCCATAGGTGGCTGACGCAGCCTTTGCATGCTGGAGGTTGACCTTTACACCTCCCCACCCTTCCTTCATTGGGCTGAAGTACCTTACAAGGGATATCTTCCTCCATTCATTCTACCTGCAGTTGTGGCCTTGTATCTTTATGAGTGGGCTCGTGCATGGCTCCTCCCCAGCCTTTTGTCTTTCTTTTTCCTCACCCTATCCTTTTCGCTGAAAGCAGATTAATCCCATTCCAAGATGGGAGTGCATATCTATCTTCTGGAGCTCATCAAAGATTCTTTGTCCAAGGAGAAGGTCCATTCTGTACACTTCTCTTGTTGAGTCTCTTCTCAGACAATCCATAGGTGAATGTTTAATTTCCGGTTGGAGGATTCCGGCCTAGCTAAGATCCTATCGACCTACTGGATTGACTGGAGTCTTCCTTTTTTTAGAGTCTGGTATGTAGGTGATGCAGGCAACTGGTCTGGGTATCTCATCCCCTCCTAAGTCTGGAGGACTGCGTCTTTCCATGCCTTTATCTAGTTGGCACTGACCTTATCCTCACAGGTTAGTAGATCCAGAAATCCTGAACGCTGGTGAGTCTGCAGATATTGGTCATCCTCAGGTTAACTTTCCAGGATCCCATTGGAGTCAGTAGAGCAAGGCATTACCCAACATATGGACACCATAAGCTATAACAGGACATACGAACATCGACGATGTTGCTGTAGATACAGCAACCCTTAAAAAGAGAAAAAGAACAGCAAAATTGAGGGTAAATGAGACAAGCCAGTGATGGGCAGATATTAAGAGAGAAACTTTCCGAAATTGCATTGTTGAAAAAAAAGCTAGAACTTTTAAGGATGACTCCCCAATAAAATTATGCAAACTTATGAAAAGACAATTGGGTCGAGTAAAAAATGTGAAAAAGACAGCCGCTGGAACATTATTAATAGGAGTAGAAGAGAGGCTCCAAGCCACTGTAAGGTGTGCATGGGGATGAGTTTCATGTCAAAACGTACCCGCATAGAAAACTATATACCTCCCAGAGTGTGATCTCAGCTAGAGATCTACGCATATGCCCTGAGTAGTAATTTAAAAAGAAGAAATCACAGAGCAAGGAGTAGTGGATGTCAAAAGAATAAAAAGGAAACCGGAACAAGCTATAATTGACATCAACTCTTTGATACCTCGACCCCATCGAAGAAAATAAAGGCGACTTTTCAGCAGTTTCCAGTATGCGTGTATGTCCTGGCACCAATGCAATGTTATGTCTTCATTTCGAGCATATAGCAATATGGTGTAAAACGATATGTTCATGTAGCCTCCGTGTGCACGAAGGACAGCTGGGCAGACCCGCCAGAATGTGTAAATTGTAAAGGAGACCACCAAATGCCTGACCAGTGCTCTAGTAGGAAAGAGAATTATAGAGGATCAAGGTGGTCTATGCATGACCCATGCAGAAGCGAAATTAATTTAGCTGCAAAAATTTATAACAATACGAGGAAGAATAAACCACTTCTACTCTGACAGCACGACATATGTGGAAGCTAAGAACAAGCTGGAAGAACCTCATAATTTGTTTAAATTGGATGAACACATGACCGAATCAGGATACTTTTACGCTTCTTCAGGCATCACATGGTCCTTTATTCCTTTTCAATTGCTGCATTTTGGAGGTTAACTTACCACCTTATCAGATCATCTATACGGCCAAAGCCCTGTCACTCCTGCACATTTTTTAACCAGCCAGTCCTTCACATCCCTTTCTTCACCATGCTTGAACAAGGTGTTTTCAACCTTACCAGCCAATGGCACCTCATTCTTTGATCCATCAAATATCTAACACCCTTATAATAGAGAGTTAAATGGAAGAAAGATCATCAACCAATCCTTAGTTTTAATTAAGGACAAGCCCCCACCCCATCTAGGAACTTGGTTGCAGCACTAACCAGCTAAATCACAGCACTGATAGCAGAGTTCGAGTGGCATAGTCAAGACAGAAAGAAGACTCTTCAACTATGCCCATTGCCTACCCAACCAGACTTCTTGAAGCCTGTGACTTCAACTGGAACGGTATGCAAGACATTTTAAGACCAGTTGGAGGGTTTGGGGAAAGGATCTGTCGTAGAAATTATGAATGATGGCGTGAGTGCAGTGTTCAATCCTTTTTTAAAAAAGATAGTTCCTACTCACAGTAAGATACACTTACTAAGGGATCTATGTACTCTTTTATGTGTTTTATAGTGGCTGTTTTTTTTGTTTTTTTTTTTTTGTTTTTTTCTGGGGGAGTAGCTACCTGCCCCCTTGCCGTTCTGTGGGGTTGCCACTAAGTTGGAATGGCACACCTCCCCTGCCCTTAAAGCCTGGGATGCAAAGGATATGAAGTGGGAAGGAGAGGTTAGTGTGTGGTTAATATAGAGGATGAAGGATATCAAGCAGGCATGGGGCAGGGAATGGGGATGCAGTTAAACGTCATGCTCAAAGCTTGATAAGTATTGTTAAAGACTAAATGATGCAGGTGAGAGATAATTAAAACAAAATGATGTTCTACTAAATTTAATTATATATGTACATAAGAGAATCGAGTGAAATGCTGATCCTAGAAGAAAATTTACCTCATTAAAAAATATTTAAAAAAATGAGATTCCTACAAACTCAGAATTGAGTGATATTTATTAATTATTACAATGCATCAGTTGATGCAATACTTTCTTTTTGTCAGCAATTCACAAGAGAACACATGAACATTTGCCCTTATGTAAATTTCTAATAATTAAAAAAAAGTTACGTATATATTCTATTAGGTACAGGGCAGTATTAACCTCAATAGTATTTTGTACATTAATATTCTTGATCCATTACATTACCAGAATACAATAGATTATTACTAGTAAATACATAATTTACTAAAACATATGCAAAGGTGATATACAGAATTAAACAGTTGAGCAATGTTGGACAGATGTGTTAGAATTGGCAACAAAGCTATATTTTTGTATTCTGTTAAAAAAATATAGAATTAAATTTAATGCCACTCTGAATAATATTAACAAAATGCGTGGATATACGTTCAAAGATTCATTGTTGCCATAATGAATAGACTAGTGCTACGAAGGTACTATATTAAGTTTTACATTGAAAGATATATCAAAACAGATGCAATAAAACAGGAACATTATGACATTGGTATTACATTATTATAAACACTTGGAAGAACAAGTTTTCCTAAAGCTATATTAATTACAAAATCTATTTTGAAATTTTACTTTTAAGTTACAGACTTGATATTTTAGTCTAATAACAATTTCCTACTAATAAATCACCACAATAACAATCGTATTGCAAATGGCAAAAAAAACTAGTTTCGTTTTTTTTTTTTTTTTAGAAAATAGTTACTATCTCAAACTCATAACTTAGGACAATTGTTAAAAATATATTGAAGAAATTTAACAGGGAGAAAGTAAAATTTGAGAATATCTTAAGGAGGTGATGTAACACCGGTAAACATTTCATAACATATATCACTGATTTTCTACTAGAAAAAAATTAACTTCTAATTTTTAATAAGAATAACCCAAGAGAATTTCTGATCAATATATTTGAGGGGTCAAAATGATCAGATAATTTTTGGACAATTTTGTCAAGAGAATTGTTTTTACATACGATTATTCAACTTCCAGCATCTGCATACTCTCTACATAGCACTTATACTCCATTAATAAATGAATTTTTAATCTGACTTTTTTTCTTTATACATAGACTTTTCCCAATTTTTCAACTAGAAAGATGGTGTAGATAGATTTAGTAAATAATAGTAAAATAAAATGAAAGACGGAAGACAAAGATGTAAAAAATAGGCTTCTAGAACTATCATGGCTGGTCAACAAATATTTCATTTTTGTTTATAAAAAGTGAAAAGTTTTATAATATACATAAACTCAGTATCAGGTCAAAATATGAAAAGATTTTAGTTACAATATGAATGAACTGGATACAAGTTAAACATGATGGAAGGGAAAAGTACCCTGTAAAGTATCAAGTAAACGACTTTAGATTATCCCTTATCAATCAAGTGTTAAATAAATTTGTTAATTTCATAGAGAAGTAATGAAAGGAGTCTTATTTGGACATTTGAAAAAAAAAATGTTAATTTATTTCTATATATAAAAGGGAAAAATAAGTATAAAATTAAAAAGTCCACTTTAATCTCTCCCTTGAGTAAAATAAAGGCGTAAATTATAAAAAAAATCCTTGCTTTGAAAAAAAAAGAGAAAAAACTTCTTAAAACTTCAAACATAAATTAGTATGTCTGAACTAATTTCATTACATTGTACTACTTAATAAAATTATTTACAAACAAACACTTAAAGTCTATGTTAAAGTACCAAAAGAATAATTTTAAAAAATAATGATTATTCAGCCTGACAATATAATTATTAGTGTGCTCACAGAAATTAGTCTTAAAAAAGTTGATTGCATATTGTTATTTAAAATATTTCTTTTTTTTTGATACCAGAAAAAATAGTCACTATATTTAAGTAGAAAAATATGTGGAAATTTAATATAAAAATATCTGAATAATTTTAACATTATTAGATCTTAATGCGAATAAAAAACATTGTGGAGAAAAACACTACAGTTTTATTGATTTTCTGCCTAAAGAAAAATATTTAATATTTTGGTATGTAATCCAGAATTGAAAATTTAATTAATCCATCTAATTCCAGCATGGTATCACATTCAATAAGAATAATTTTTAAAAGTTTAATATGGTGGGGCCTAAAAAGTCTTATGAAAGAAAACAACATTTAGTTGAAAGGTTATACCATTGAATGAATGAGTATTATAGAGCTACACTGTTTCTTTAAACAAATCCTACCATTTTCAACCAAAATCGCCAACCAACAAGATGAAGTAACAAGTATGACATCCATATATCAGTGTGCTTTAATAAATTCATTCTTCACTGGTAGTTTTATATTTGTAATTTCATCGAGCCTAACACTTATGACAGCATCTAGAAAGCCAGGTTTTAGTCGAGTTTGTACCAACAACTTCTAAAAAACACGATTATAGTCAATAGGTTTTAAGTTTTGACTGCTGAAAAACAATATATAAACATTACAAATATTTATAGTTGTCCAAAACCATCTGTAGGGAGTACAAAATCCCATTACCCTTAGTACGTTTTCGCTTTTTTCTTATTACTGATCAGGCCAAAATAAAGAAATTAAATATCACTAGTCCGATTAGGGCCACCACTTAAAAAAGTGTGCATTAAGAGACATCCTTTTGATTCTCATTTATCACTTTATATACATTTTTTGAGATGAAGACATCTATACTAATTGCAACTACGATCATCTATGAGGTAACAGTTATTAGATATTGATTGGCAAACAAAACCCTAACAGGTAAACTATTTTAACATAAAATACAATTAATGAACAATTATATACAAAGTGCTATACCCCGGCTTCCATTTCTCTTTGGCGTACCACCATAGCAGCTTCGACAAGAACATGAAGGCACTTGAACGGATCTTCACTTTCCATTGGTTCCTCGGGTGTCCATGTTTGATAAGTAAGAGAAATATCCCTAGAAATCAAACATTTAATTAGTTAAAAGTTCATTACATAAAGAAAATTAAACTTACGAAGGTTCTGGAGAAACCGTACATTCCCCATCAGAAATGTTGTGTTCACTTAAATTGCAGTCCTCTTCACTGTTTGAACAACTACTGCTATTGATGTTATTTAAGTAATCATGGCTTTCTTTTTCGATGTTACTATTTATCTTTACATTTCTTTTCCCTTTCCTTGTAATCGTAAAATGTTGGGGGTCCTGACCATCTTGACGTATCATTTGGGGTAGTATTCTCCTTCTAGCATTTATAAACCAGTTGCACACCTACAAAATATAAAATCAAAAATTAATCATTTCACTCAAAATACCATAATTTACATTTCATTTACCTGGAGCACTGTCAGATTTGCTTCTTGTGAAAGCATATTCTTTTCTGTATCACTGGGGTATGCATTGTATCTATGCTCGAAGAGCCACTTTTTCAGAATTTTGACAGACTCGTTTGGCAGATTACCACGTTTTTTTCGCACCATACCTCCACTAGTATGTTTTGCATTTTGGGTTGGGGAATTGTGTTCATATTCAATATCCGATAAAGAATTGTCACTTCCCAAGAAATCCGAGTAAGAACTTTTGTAAACTAAAACATATACCATGCATGTGGTTACTTCTTGCGGACGCTATATNATAATATAATACATATATATTATTTTTTATAATATATCATATATTGAAATGATTAAGATAAATAAAACAATGCAATTGTGATAACATTAGTTTAATTCCAATATTCAGATTGTAATGTAATGAATATTTGTCATAACTAGAGCCCCCTGTTTGACATACTTCAAGTCTACGGGACTGCCGAAGGTCATGTATTCGAGTCCTGGGTGTCTCTACAGGAATCACCCAGATCCTGAAGATGGTGAAATACCGAAACACATCTGAACTAACAAAAATCAGAAGATAGGCAGACAAGAATGATAGGTAACATCAACCAGTGGCTCCTTAGTGTAGCCATGTGTGCGCACTTGTGGCTTTTCCTCTCCTAGTTGCAAGAATCTGCATCTATAAAGACCTTCACAAAAACATAAAATTGTTCTGCAGTCTCCTCCTCTTCTTACTGGCAGTATCTACACAGTGTTTCTTCTGTCTGTTCGCCTATCCGGTGCATGTACCTTCTTAGGCGGCAGTTCCCTGTAAGGAGTCGAACCAGAATCTTGGTTCTATTACGGTTGCCCTCCAGGAATTCTTTTGTACATCTTGAAAATGGCCGAGTGTGAATATTTACTTGCTGCCTAGTTGGGAGGCCTCAGGGCCTGTCCCAAGTGTAGCTTGGTTGTTTTGTTGGTTAGGTTCCATATAGTTCACACGAGTAGCTATGGATATAATATGTCCACCCCAGTATGCTGGGATAGGCCTAGATACAAGGTATTGGCAAGTTCCCTAAGGGCTCTGTTTGGGATATGTATTGCTTCATAAAAGAAAACAATTTAAAAAAAAGGACCCTAGAAAGGATGAAACTAAAGTTTATTTTTAATTGAAAGAGTATAAAAGGATTATTAACACTCCATAAAAGTAAACAAGTTATTAATGTGTTTACATTTTAACTATTAATCTTTATACCTAGTTTTTATGGAAAATAAACAAATACGAGTGTCCATTTTTTTTTTTTTTTTTGCCTTTGAAGGTAGTATACCTAACGACGGTTACGCAATACAAGTCAAACTACTACATGTGCTGCGTGACTTTTACTACCAAGGTACAAAATGCAAAAACTCACTCATTTACACAAGAGTGTATGCAAAACACACAACCATTATACCTTGTGTCAGATTAAATACCTTTTTTTTTAATCCGACTATCACTGAATTCACTTCCCACAATATAGGTCATATAAATTCCTTGTCAGATCAGACAGTATGAAACAGACCCAAAATTGATTAGTAACAATCAAAGTCTTAAAATGCTAAATTACCAAAGAAAACGTAAAAGTACATTCATAAAATGGATTTATTTTCTAAGAGAGAATATGTGAATCAGGACTTAATTAAAACCCATGTTGAAGTACTGAAAGACCAAAACATAATTTCGTTTTTATAATGCAATAGAGAATTCTGAAATTGAGATGTTAGATTCATCTTTGCTAACAGATATATTGGAACCAACTGTTGATATACAACAAATACAAAATACTGAGGATGATATGGTTGAAGTGAATATCTTCACTTTTGTCTCAAGCTGGAAATGAGAAAACTATCTAACAAGAGGCACCAACCATCCAGTCGATAACAATGATATACGAAGTACACAGGAAATACCAAAACCCCGCTCCTCTTGACCATCATTATCAGATGCAATTTCAAAAGCATCTTTAATAAATTGCTATAGTAACAGTTTCGGGTCCTTAAGAACAGGTTAACTTTGAAAATTACCCAAAAGTCATGACTTTGCCCTGGAAACATTCATTTATTGAAGATGAGATGGGAGAGCACAAGAAGCATTAATATCTGAATTACAGCAATGATAGTCAACGACCTATTACTTCTTGAAATAAGGATCAATTCAACTGATCTGAACTAAAGAATTAATAAAAGTACATTTAACCAAAAAGCTACAGTGCATTGGGAAATACTAAACACCATTGTCCTCATCATCATCAGATGCAATTTCCAACCATCAAACTTTTCTCGGGTGCTGAGGGCATTATAATTTGAATGCTCACTGTGTACACAACTGAATGCATAGTACAATTTTGACAAACAAGAGAAACAGATCTTTTTATTTAAATTGTAAAGACTTAAGATTCGATACAAATACAATTTATCTGGTCAGATCTTGACTAATTCAAATTTAAAGCCAATTCTGGGAAGTTGATATGAAACAATATATGATACTTAGATGTAATTTTTTAAAAAGATAAGTCAATGTAGGGGAAAAATATTAACAGCTAGCATATTTTTAACAAGTGGTATTATATTACAAAAGGCAATGATAAAAAAAGAGCAACATTGGAAAAACTGTCCAATCATTAATGTTTTGATATAGAGTGAATTGCAAGTGCTGACATACCAATAATGACAAATGGCAGGAAGAAACAAGTATTAATACAAAGATTAGATTTGCAGGATTATTCTTAAACCACGGCTATTTATAAAATTTTCTAAGCCGGTATTGAACGAAAATAAATCAGTTTTTGTTGAAGAGCGAATTCTCGGTTAAAAAGAGAGAAAAAACCGGCGAATGTTTCTTATTTCATTGCCTTAAGTGTAATTTTTTTTAACTATTTTAATACGCTAGTCGGGTGTTTAATTTAAAAAAGGAATGACAAAAGAGAGGACATTTTAAATACTGTATGTAATCTGGCAAAGCCTCGTGGTTTCTATTTCTAACCGGGGTTCTTCTAAAAAAAGAACCAAAAGTGTCAAACAATGTGGGTCAACAGTCGAACTGGCAAATCTTTCCGAGTACTTCAAAATTGGAAAGGAAATTATTTACAATTATTAATTAAACGAAGATTCTTACCTTTGGGAGGGTGGGATTTTGAAAGGATGTACGCCTGTTGTGTGCTGAACCGCTTCGCCTCTTCCAACATATTTTCTGGAGCTGGAATATTAAAAAAAAAATAAATAAATAATTGTGTGTCGGGTGTGAAAACAAGCCGGCCAAGGGTTTATTAAATTCAAAAACCGGCACCTCGACTCTTTGACAGAAAAAGGATGACATTTGAGTTTTGACAGATACCGACCGAACCTCAACCGGCGATAAAGAACAAATCGGGCTCAAATTACATAAAAATAAGACCAACTACGAGCTCAATTAAGAAAAAAAGATTAAACTTATACTTACAATGTAACAAAGCCTAATAAGCACGTTCTAATCGTCGTAAAGTCGGAACTGGAGGTAACTTATTCGGTCGCATAAAAAATAAGCATAAATACTCAAAATTGTTAAGTCAATCGTTAAAGCAGGAAGAATCACATTTCCGAGAGGAGGCCGGATCGAATGAGAAAACAGGAAATATCACATGGACAAGACTATTCTCCGGCGAGACCTTTTGACGGCTGGACCGAATGAGAAACACGTGCAGCAGACAGGAGTTGAAGCTAAGGAAAGACGAGGCTAGAGCGGGAGAACCGCCTTTCAAACAATTACATGACCAACTTAATTTAAGTTGACACTTATCTCGACTTAACGTTCCAATCGGTTTTCCTATATTAAAAAAATAATAAAAATTAAATCTGTAATATTTTTTATACAAGAAGAGATTTAATAATTGAACAAAAAAGAATCCTCCATAAACAGAAATTTCCTACAAAATATTCTTACCATTTAACCACATTTTCACATTCCATTAAACAAAACGTTATTATAAACTGCCATAAAAATTATATTTTCAACAATTAAAAATACACTAGTAGACTTAAATATATTAAAACGTTCATAAAAAAAATTATATTTTTCCGCCCTTAATCCTTTCTTACGAGTATCCAGTTACACAGAATTCCTTAGAAACATTAATAAGCAACTATTGAATTCTAAATTTGTAGAAAATGCAAAGAATATGTGGAATATTTCAATTAGGCGGCCCCTCCGCAATTCTGTCTTTTTGGTGGGGGGGTCAGCCGTTCCGTGCCAGTTCTTTTCAAATAAGTCAGGAACTACTGAACAAAGAACGGCTCCTTTAGGAATTACATGCTTGGAATTGTTTCAGAACAAGTTTTTCAAATAGAATTCATTCTTTTTCAGATTAAAATTAACTATTGTGCAAATTATATACACTTTTCGGTAAATCGTTAATTTGATTTTAGGAACGTCACCGAATTGTTTTTCTCTTTTTGTACACTTTTTCAATTCACCCACCCATTTTCAAATTAAATTCACTCTTGTGCAAATCACGGATTTGATTCTTGTTCTTGGAACTGTTTATGCCGAACTGAGAACAGCTCTTTTAGGAACTACATGCTTGGAATTGTTTAAGTACACGTTTTTCATGTTGAATTCATTCTTTTTCAAATTAAATTCACTCTTGTGCAAATTGTATCCACTTTTCGATATTCTTGAATTTGATTTTAGGAACGACACTGAATTGTTTTTCTCTTTTTTGTACACTTTTTAAAAATTGAATTCACCCATTTTGAAATTAAATTGACTCTTTTGCAAATGGTGGATTTGATTTTAGGAACTAAGATTTCTTGTTTCTCTCTTTTTGTACAGTTTTTAAACTTGGATCCACCCATTTTCAAATTAAAATCACTTTTATGCAAATTAAATCCACTCTTCGGTATATTGTGAATTTGAATTTAGAAACTATAATGAGGTAAGAATGGCTCTTTTGTGAGGCAATACGTAATACATAGAATTATTCTCTCTTTTTTTTAGAACAGGTTTTTCAAAGTAAATTAAACTTTTTGCAAATTAAATCCACTCTTGTGCCATTAAATCCAATCTTCAGTAAATCGTAAATTTGATTTTAGAATCTATACAGGCGTAAGTATGACTCTTTTATTTGGCAATACATACATACATAGAATTGTTTTCTTTTTTTAGGACAGGATTTTAAAATTATATTAAACTTTTTGCAAATTAAATTTACCTTTTTGCAAAGCATGGATTTGAGTTTAGTAATTGTGTATATGGCGAACTAAGAACAGCCCCTTTAGGAACTACTTGCTTGGAATTGTTTTAGTACTGGTTTTTCAAATTGAATTTACCCTTATCAAATTTGATTCACTCTTGTGCAAATTAAATCTAGTCTTCGTTAAATTGTGAATTTGATTTTAGGAACTTCACTGATGTAAGAATGGCTCTTTTATTGGGCAATGCGTACATACAGCATTGTTCTATTTTTTAGAACAGGATTTCAAATTAAATTAAATTTTTGCAAATTAAATTCACTCATTTGCAAATCATGGTTTTGATTTTAGGAACTTGTATGGTGAACTAAGAACAGCTCCTTTAGGAATTACACGCTTGGAATTGTTTCTCACTTTTTTGTACAGGTTTTTCAAATTGAATTCACCCATCTTCAAATTAAGTACACTGTTCTGCTAATTAAATAGACTCTTCTGTAAATTGTGAATTTGGTTTTCGGCATATATACATAGAATTGTTCTCTCTCTCTCTCTCTCTCTCTCTCTCTCTCTCTCTCTCTTTTTTTTTTTTTGGAACAGGATTTTAATTGAAACTAAACTATTTGCTTAAAAACTTAACCTTAAAAATGATACAACTTAAAAAATCAAACTACCATAACGGTGTAAAGAAGCTTGAGATTGACAATTCAAGGATTTGTTTACAAAATCCAATTGTAAACACAATGGGAGATTTTACCAGTGTTATTTACCTCTAATCATTTAAAACGGACCAAATATTGCTGTAAGATAATCAATGGAGGATTGCCTAAGAGAAGATTAAAAATCTTAAAGGTGGCCATTTCTTTTGCTTCTCAATGTATTGAAAGTTTTACCAGGGAAAATAAATGCTATGTTATTTTAATTAGTTGTATTCATAAATAACATTTGCAATTGACTCTAAAGCATTATTTTAAAAGATTCAATTACATAATTAATTATTTCGAAGGTAACATAATATAAACTTGTACAGCCTAACTTCATAAACAATCTCAGTTTTCTGTTACCAACAAAGATTAACAGACAACAGTAAAATACATATTAAACCATTGGATATAACTGAAAATAATTTCTACAAGATTTAGAACAAGGTTATAAACTCTCTGCAATTTTCTCAACATAATTATATAGAAAAATATTAACTTTGGACTACACAGTGAAAGAATGTCCATAAAATATTACTTTAAAAGTGACATTTCATTACAATATTAGAATAAACTATGAACAAATAATTGCAATCATATGTAACAGTATTATTAAATCACCTATGTACATAACATAATTTTTAATAAATAATCTAAATTTCTTGTTATACTCTTTTGAGTAAATTAACACGTTCTATACATTTTTACTGTAATATTTCTTTCCTACAGTAGCAAAAGGCGCAAAAATTCAGAAAACATTGGCCCTTTCTAGAGTCAGTTAGATTTGGCAGTGCCGTCATACTAATATATAACATCGTCATTTTGCATACACTTTTCAATTATATCGATACATACATTACTTTTGGGACATTGGGTACACACTTTCTTCATAAAACAACTCTTTCATCAATAAACATAGAAATTCAAATTGGATAGAATTATGAAAGTTTAAATTATAAAAACATTGCAAGAAGACAAAAAACCAAGATGACAAACGAAGCATTTGTGTTAAGACTTTAAAATATTAAGAATTTGTTTAATTTAATTAAGAAATATGCACTATTAGAAATTACTTAAGTCACAATAATATATTTTTAGGTAATTATTATAATAGTACTTATAATATCTTTAATTATATTTATTATAGTTGTACCCATTATAACAAAATCTACTAATTTAATTAATAATTCATTTGTTTTTTTTTTGTTCACTTTTTCTCTACTGAGTTATTTACACCTACTTATGTATATTTGCAAAGGAAACCATTATCATAGCAATTTATGGAAATATATTACTGTCATAGTGAGCTGAGGATTTATAATTTAGTTTCAATTTATTAATTTATTTTATGATACTTAACAACTGAATACATTTATATCAATCAAATTTTTATCAAAATTCACATTTATTGGAGTGACAATTGTAGTGTAATTAAATGTTTAGTTCACACAACACAGACGTAATTCTATAAGCGCTTGATAAGGAATGGTCATCCTTAAAATGTAGATTCCTTTTTGTAATATCACGACCTCATGGAAAGAGACTGTTAGCTAAGTTACACTTAATATACTGTACATTTCTAAACTGTCAGACATAATTTAGAACACTTATTTTCCTACCAGATATTCTAGAAACCTACTTAAATTTGACATCCACGTATAAGAGAATGAAAATTTAGATTATAATATAAAAAGTCTGTTATTATTATGTTTATTTTAATATAATATACAATTATATGAGATCATTAATGAATGTTTAACACATTTGATGTTATTTACCATTTTCGTTTTTTGTACTTCTTATCTGATTATTGGTACAACTTGGATATTCAATTGTGTGATGTTTTCCCCTTTTCTAAATATATTGAGTGTTATTTTATAAGTCTGTTGTTGTTCCACAAAAGTAAATTTTCTCAAATTGTCCCGAGTGGTTAGGAAAGTTACAAAATTAACAAAAAGCATAAGAAGTCACAACCGATTTTCTAATTCCATTCCTGAAAGTTTACAAAACATTTTTTCTGCAATCCTCACTTTTATCTAGCACAACCCAGTACATTTATTTTTGTGTTTATTATTTGAGTCACCTGAAAAACTTACTTTATTATACAGTCTCTTCTTTATCAACGTTTATTAAATGGTTCAGTTATACTTTCATTATCAACCATTGTTAAAGAATTCTCCTTACTTGCCTAGAATCTTTATTAAATAAACTTTCCATAAGTTTAATTGGCATCTATTGCAAGTCTGATTTTTGATTGAGAGAAGAAAAACAAATTGTGCATTCTTTTGTCTCATATCTGAATTCCTAGAAATAATTATATCATACACAAGTAATACAGCAATTGATATGGTTATTAGTATTTATATTTTATTTATTTATTTATTTATTTTTTTTTTTGTAAAAACGTGGCAGTAACAAGCTGAACACTTTATTAGGATAATTGCACTGACTGATTTTGAAACAATTAAATTTTAACTCATGCCGGTATAAAGTTTCCGTGAATTGTGAATATTTTGTTAGTGCATATTTAAATGTTTAAAAATCAACTTTTTGTTTCAATCAAATTGTAATGTACTTGAGTCATACCACACCAAACTGAGAATGACTATCAAACATCAAACCAAATCAATAGACCCTAGGAAAAAATTCATAAATTTAAATAACAAAAGAAGAAAAATCGGCTGTGTCCTTATAACAAATACTTTTAAAATGATTTATTCTAACTGAAGGTTTAAAAAATGTATAAATATATGAATGCTGATAATTATTCATGTTAAACTGTTAAACAAAATGTTGCAGCACAAAATTATCTTCACAAGTAGGTAATAGATTAATGTAGGTAAATGGTTTTATCAAAATGGCAATAGTATAAATTACCAAGTTATCAATAGAAATTAATACGTTTTGGGCTATCGACCAAATTCCTTCAAGGTAATTGACTAGTATTGGCAAAGCACAACACCTGCCTGTAGACAAAGTAGTCATTTTACAAAATACAAGTTAGTATACTAGGTACTACGAAAAAACAACAGATATTTCAAACTGTCCTTTTGAAATTAAGGAGAAAATGAGCATCCAACTAGTTAGCTCACCCAAGCCTCTTAAATCACTAAATCATTCTTCATTCGAGTCCTTCTTCATTCTCTTGAGGATAATCCTAGAAGGCGCAGTTTCAAATTCAAGCTTACTTTATACCTTTGATTATATAATTAGTACAGTACAATTTGATTTAGTCTAAAACTATAAACAAAGGTTATAAATCTGGTAACTATTAAAAGCAATAAAAATAAATTTCAACGACAAAATAACTTTTTTTCAATAAACAATTTTTATAAACTATAAATATGCAGATGTACTTCTGTAGTAACTAATTTAAATTTTCATACTAATCAATGATAAAAAAAAATTATTTAAAAGAACAAACAGTCAAAAATACTATTTATGGCAAAGTTTGAAGAGTCTTTTAAAATATCAGACCATTTTTTTTTTAAATATTGGTAGTAAAGTATGACTATTTGTACATGTTCATGTTTCCCCTAAAGATTGAACTTATGAAAGTCACAATGCTTTATGTGTAAGCAAGGCATAGCACACATTGCTAGGTAAATAATTCACGAATAGATTGTGATTACTTCACGTCCTCCACCTCGCACCATGAGCACCCTTTCCAGTCCTTCAGTGAGTACTTCAATAAATTCCATATCTTTTAAATGGGTTAAGAAGAATTGTATTATGTGCAGTATAAAATAAAGCATATTAAATTCATTAAAATACATACTTTTTAAAGTACAATATTTTGTTTGATTAATATTTATAAAAAAAATATAAAAGGATACAGTTAGCTTCTCTATCTATAGAAGTATCACGTGGAGGTCCGGGTAAATTTAGTATCACAAGCTGAGCTTTGTGGGACTTGTTTACAATTACTTCATTTAATTTCACAGCGGTATGCATTCTTCTTACATTGCCCTCATCACTATGAGAAAAAAGTAATATTAATATATAAATTACATGTGTGCATATTTTAACATACGGTGTAATAGCTGGTTTCTCTCCTTGAGTTACACATTTCTCTGGGATGGATAGTGTGAGATTATTTGAGGGAGGTGGCTGCTGTTGTGATTCCTGCTGATGGTCATCCTCCTCATTTGCTGTCTTTTCCTTTTCTTTTTCTTCTTTTCCATCCTAAAATATCCAAACATACTTAATTAAGACTACCAGGGCATACAGGGTAGAAGAGACAATAAATTGCCAAGGAAAGTTCAACCAGAACACCTGTCATCCCTTAACACTTGTGGGGAATACCAAATTTCTAACAACTTAGAAAATTCTATCTGACAAGGAATTATGAAAAATCCATTGGTTCAATGGGAATGTAATCTATAGAGGTATGTGAAATAGTTCATCTAAGGACTATGGCAGAAACTAACAACAGAACTACTAAACCTAGGACATGCTAGGGCTAAAACAATAGTAGGACTGCAGGCCCCAGAGGCATATCTAGAGACTCAAAACAACAGAAACAAGCCTGTGCAGGAAGAAGATTCAGCAGAACAAGTCCTCTGCTAGTGCAAAGGCTACACAGGCTTAGATTCCTACTCTTGGAAGAGGAAAAGCCCAGGCCTGAAGGATACACATCAGAGCCATTAAATTCTTAAAGCTTTGGGATCTGGTAAAAAGCCTTAAACAACAAAAAGCTCTAGATAATGATTAAGATCACACAATACACCAATATTTATATATATTTATATGTGCTAGGTAGTAAAGTTCCAAAGTAATTCCATTTAACTTTAAACCTTAACAAAGAATGAATATTTTGATACATTATTTCCTGGAGGCCTAATTTTTTACTAATTGTCAGACCTATTGCAATCATACCTGAACTTCTTCACTTCATAAAGAAACCAATAAAACAAGAAATTTGTTGATGTGGTGAATGATTTTTTTAAAAATAAAATTAATCCATATTTGCTTAGTGATCATAATTGGCAATATTAATTATCCCAATTAATTATTCTTTTTATCTAATGTTTTTGGTTGAGATGAAACATTAGTGCCACGAGCGGGATTTGAACCCACGGTCTCATGGCACTGATTTTTTTATCGTTAAAAAAGACTACATTAACTAATACAATACTTTGTGTTTCTGTAATTTTATAGGTGACCCTCAAAATGGTTGGTTCAAATAAAAAAAATTAATACAATTCAATAATAATAAAAGTCTAAATGAAACTAGATAAACCTAAAAACAATGATTTTTTTGTGGTGGAACACAATTTCACTAACCTGCATATGCACCTGACATTCTTTTCTAAATATAAAGTTAAAACTTAAGAAAATATATTTTAAATTTACTAACATATTCATATTTTATATTTTTATACACATACGTTTCCAGGTGATTTGTTGTTTCCTGAATTTTGATCATTGTTGCTTCCTTGGGATGGTTCTTGGAATCGTACTTTGGTTGCTGTTTTGCCATCATGATGCTGATCCACAATAGCTTGTACCTAAAAATAGACATTGTTTAACAAATATTTGATTCAGTTTTACTTATTGTTCATTCTTCATTATTCAAGACTGATTTGTGACATTTGACAATTTGAAAATAAATTTATCAATAGATCAAGAGACTGTTATCGTAGTTTAAATTATAGTCATTTTAGGGCATTTATCACAAGTACAAATAAGACTTTGATTACAAAGTTTATGTCCAATCGAGAACATCAAAAAGTTAATTGTAAACAAACATAATTACCAGCTTTTAAAGATTAGTTTAATTCATAATTAATTCCATTATAAACAGATTTTGACACATGATTAAGCAGTAGAAATTTATAGAAAATTTTTCAAAATCATCCATTCTCTGAACTTTTTCTATTTTTCAATCAATTGATCAACATTTTCATGATAAAAGTGTCAATTTGTTTGTCCCTTCAACAAATTCAACACTATTGGTTATGAATTATGCTGAATTAAACTGCTCAAGTACAAGGCAGTATGCATCATTTTTATCTCAATAATGTTTTATTTAAAACAAGACAATTAGGATAAAATCAAACGTTTAATTAAAAAAACCTTAAGCAATGTATTGTATTTAAAAAAATGTAATTTTGTAACAAATCAGAATGAAAAGTTAATTCAATTATATGTTAATTAAGAGATTAAAATGTATGATAATGGTAATGATGATTATGAATATGAAGATGGTGATGAAAAAGAAACAACGAAAGGAAAAAAATCTTAAATATAAACAAAATGTCTGAAAATTGTATGTTCCATTTTATGAATTGGTACGTATGCCCTCTGAACAACAAACAAAACTTTGCAGCAAAGCAAAATCATAATATATAAAATGTATTTTTTGTAGTCTGATTGCTGAATTGTATATAAAACGAAAATAAACTATAACTATTACAAATTATTACAGACAATTTTGAATTATATTAGTCTGTTATTTGAGTGCTTAATTATTTCTCCTGACTTTTCCAACTTACAAAAGCTGTCATTATAAGAGAAAGTGTAAATTCAACTTGTATTCCAAGTTTACCAATTTATATATTTGTAAAGTGAGGTGAGGCAAAAGGTAATTTAGATTTCCACTTTAAAGTTTAGTGTTTACTCATGTCATTTCAAACCATATTGATCCTAACTTTTTATGAAAGTTTTTTCTTTGACTTTGCTGTGAAATGAAAGTATAAAGGGTTTTCATAAAGAGATAAATTTATTGGATTTATGAATTGTAAAACATGATAAAGAAATATTTCACATTAGGATTTGTATTTATATTTTATAAACACATCTAGATAAAGACAATTCTTCAGATTGTTATATTATCAATTGCAATAAATAAATAATTAAATCAATAAATTATTCACATGTCCAACCTTTATTAACAGAGAGTTGCACCAATTCCTTAAAAATGATACTATTTGTGAAATGTTAATATTAATACTATTTTTTTACAAATATATATTGAACTTTATGTAAGAACAATTTATGTAACAATGTAATTTTATGAACATACATAGTTTTGGTTTGCTTTCGACTATTTATCTTAAATTTCACCCTACATATATTTTCATCGATTTACAAATATGAGATCAAATGATTTCGCTTTCAAAAATGTCACTGACTGTTTAGTTCAATAAATACTAAAAAATAAATAAATAAGTAAATAAAATAAATGTAAGGAAGCCATTAATCAAAATAATAGCATTTGCAAATTCAGGAAAAAATTGAGAACAAAATAGGTGGTGGCATGATGGTGATGAGAGGGTTCTCTAATATCTACCCAAACATGCAACAACAAACCCACCAGTGGCATGTTCTCCTCTGAAGGTATCTCATTGTAGCCAACCTTGGAATGCAACAACAGAAGAAATATAGTTTAAAGAGCAAATAAGGTTTGGGAATTGAACAATTTCATTATCATGAGTAGATCTGTGTGAAATTTGAAGTAAAGCAGATATTGCTGAGTATTTTGGATTAAAATACAAAGTTGATTTATTGTTGGCAACATCATAAAATTATTCATGCAGTGAATGTGATATTTTTCATCTATAAGTGTTACATTGTAATTAGGAGGATGATTTTAATTCATATGTTACATTGCAAAGAGTGACAAAGTGCTTTTAAATTAAATGTGTTGTTTAAAAAACACACACAAAGTACCTGTATTTTACTTTAAAATGACATATTACAAATATTATAACAATATTTTCATAAAAAGTATCCCGGCAATATAATTGTTTTAATTAATTCCCCCTTCCATATTACATTTTTAATTGTAGGAACTGTGAAATTTTCTTTTCTGTTGCTAACCATTAATGAGAATTATTTTATTACAGTATCCAATGATGGCTATAGTAGTTTTGAAATTATTTTATATACTTATAATTTTATATTTAGCTGTTCCTTAACTTTTAAGAACTATAAAATCAAAACTATAATTACGTACCATCCCGAGAGTTTCTTTTTTATTGAGCCTCAGTTCTCTTAACATTTGGTTTCTCTGTTCCATCATCAGTGTTCTTTCATATGTGTATGCAGAAATGTCATTGTCAGTCTAAAAAATAAATGTTAACTTTCTTATAAACTTTTCTCTTTCTAAATGATACCATATTAGTTTGGGCTTTATGTTACCCAATAGTAAATACATAAAAATAACGTTTTACTTGTGAAAATAATTATAAATTGAATGGGGTTCATTTGATATTTGCCTATGTTACTTTTGAAAAGGTACCAGATATAAAAGATAAATGCTTTTAACCTTCAAACAGTCCCGCTCTGGTATTTTTGACCCCAAAACTTGGTTTTTATTACATCTTGCAGAGTTCACAAAACTGAACCACCTGGCCTCATTCCACTATAAAAATAACCTTTAAGGAAAAATGGGCCGGGGTGACAGATGGCTATTCGCATAGAGAGTGTAAATGCTGCTGTAAACGCCAGCCAGGTGAGGAATACATATAGAATAACTAATAACTGTCCTATGAAAAGGCACATAAAACAATTTAAAGCTCCTCTAATTCTGTTTCTGCACCTTCAGATAAAAGAGTACCTTAAGAGCATCAACTACACCATTAAAAACACTCCAACAACAATTGAGTGGGCTAATTAAATTTTTGATTTTTGAAAAGCAAGTTTATCTATGACCAGTCATTAACGATTAATGATGATAGCCAGATTAGAACATCAATTAATGCACTTTCTATCATTAAAGATTGCCTCAATATTGTTCATAACTTGTTTAAAAATAATGTTTAATGTACAATTAATTGTTCCATTTATCATTGGTTTTACTAATTTTATGAAAGGGTTGTAATAAAATGATTATTGTTATTATTAAATAAAAATATTTTTTATCATTTTATTTTTGTATAATTTGTTTCCTAAATATTGTATTAAAAATAAATCCACATAAATATATATATATATTTTTTTGCATATTAGCCATGGTGACGAATTCTTATATGTGTGTTCAAATGTTCAAATTGGGGGGGTATCGTGAAAAAAGGGCCAGAGGCGACGGTGGGAATCAAACCCACGACCGCGGCGTGAGAGGAGTCTCTCATGCTAACCACTCGGCTACCGCGGTCCCCAAACATAAATATAAATAATTTAAAAACTAATGGGCTGGGGTTTAACTTTGTACACTGCATGACAGTTCATGTTGAAATGGGAGGCATGACCGCTCGAAGGTTAAAAGACAATTTCAAAAAATATAAGAGCATATGGCAGTGGTGTATACCATTTCCACAACTTCAACTTCAGCTTCAATACGCAAATGGTACAAAAATGTTTTTAGGTCCTTTTTCATTTGTATTGAATTGTCCTCCATCTGTGCAACAGTAAAAATTCTTAGTTTACAATTTTTCCATGTTCTATGTTGTTTTAGCAAAAATGGTAAGAGCATCAGTAGACCACCATCATGAACAATCCACCAAATATCAATATTGCCTGATATCTATAAATTAAATTAAATTAAATTAGGCCCTTAAAAAAATCATAATTGAAAAAGATTAAATTAGCTACTTTGATAGAAGAATTAGGAAAGAAATTGATTCCTTTAGGTACAAGTAATGCCATTCTTGCAGCTGCTACATTTCTAACTGACTTCAAGAAAGTGTGCCATGTTCTTTCATTTTCGGTCTGTCTCCAACCATAAGGCCAGCCGAGTATCACAGTGTTAGGTTTCATACCACCAAGGCCAGTTGTTTGAATTCTGAAACAGGCAACACATGAAAAAAATTGTGTATTTAGTAATTATTTTGTCTGCGTACAAATGACTAAGCCCTTCAGCAACATCACTCGAAACAAGGACATCCACAAATCCTTTCACTTTTTCCTCCTCCATAGTTTTACGTAGACTTTGTTTTGCAGCCATTGCTTCACCAGCACATTGGCTAAAGTCACCATTTATCACAGATACACATACTGTAAGACCCTTTCCTAAAACGATATATAAAAAAATGTATATTTTCGACTTAAAATTTATACTTTTTTTCTTCATACCGGCCTTGAGCTGGGACGCAAAAGTAAATATTTTCTTGTATTTTGGTACATATTCATCTGTCAACTTGCTCAAAATCAAGATTTGTGGTCGCCAATTCTTAGTATGGGGAGGGCCTTCTTCGAGTCGTAAAAGACTGAATCGAGCCGCTGATAAAGCTAAACCACTTATTCCATCACCCCACTCTTTTTCAGCACTAGAATATTAAATTTATTCAATTAATTGAAATTCAATACAGAATTAAATAGAATATATTAATTAAAATTAATAGAAAGAACTTTATTAATTCCACTTACCCTCTGTATTCAATGTATTTGTAAATGAGACCAGCCATGCCCATGGCAACTAAGGCAAAATACCAGCTTGACATAAACATAACTGCAATGCACATGTTTAAACCGATACAAGACAGTGTCCTAGAAAATATTGTTAACACTAATATGAAATTTTTTTAAACTTTTGTTTAAAAAAAAAAATTGACAAGTCTTTACCAATGGTAATATTTGAAACGTGGCCTCCAGTTTGGTGTTCGCAGAAGTGTTTGTAGAGCACAAGCCAAGTTGACAAAACCATAGCACATCAAAAAGAACATAGAAAGAAGAGGAGCAAGTTGATCAACATTTCCTAACAAGATACCACACTGACATATGCACAAGGTAAGGATAAGAGCCCTTGTTGGTTCCCCTCTGCTTGAAGACACAGCAAATGGAGCAAGAAATGGTATAATTCCATCTTTTGCTATGGCCTGTAAGGAAAATTGAGTAATTATTAAATTAGGACTATTAAACGTATACAGTAGAATCTCCATTATCTAGGATACATTTTTTTAAACTATGTATTTCACTTTGGTTAAAAACACTAACATTAAAGTCTTGTTTATATTGGCTTGTTGGTTTTATCTTAGTTTTCTATTGTTTACCCACTCTGAAAAGGGATTAGGGAAGGTGTTTTAATTCACCAGATTTGTCCTAGATATTGTATTTTTACAAGGTGTTTAAAATTGAGGAAAATAGCACATTTTGGGTATTTAATGGTTTTGCTATTACCACACCTCAGCTAGGAAGTTTTATGTTGTGTTTTATGACACAGGAGAAGCAGCATCTGTAAGTGATTCATTTGATGGCCTGACATGACCTTAGTCTGCTTGTTCTCGATCCTAAGTTGCAAGCCAAAATATCACCAGAAAGAAAACGCATTGTGAACATCCTTTCATTATCCCAAATAATTAAAGTGCTACTGCATTACTTATATTTTTTATCTTATGTACAGATAGATAAGATAAAGATCTTATACATAGATAAGATACTTATTGATAGATATTTTTTCTATTATAAGCAATATAAAAATACGGGAAAGAATGACAAAACCGCTGGACTGCCATGACCAACATACATGAAATAAAACTATCGGTCAAATCGTGGACCATGGAGGAAAAGGAAAAAAGAAAGAATCACATTGACTCGCCTGCAGATAGGCTACACCAAGCTGACACATGGGCATCTCCTTGTCAAAGAAGCTCGCAAGAATCCATAAAGCACATATTAACAGAATGCGAGGAAATAGCGCCGCAAGGAATAAGCTGTGGCTTGCCAGCTTCTAAGGCATAGCAGGGTAATTAATTGATTTTATACCTGAAGCTGATAAACATGGCCCTTTGGTCGCATATAGCCCTTTCATATGTAGGTTGAAATAATATCCTTAATTTGTGTGAATGTATTTATTAGCGTGAACACAGCATGTTTTTGGTGTATTTGTGATAGAACGAATACTTAAAAAATTTCAAATAGCCTAGGTTATTTAGTTTTATATACATCTGCAGTGTGATAGGGGGAGTCCCTGGCATAATGGTGACTACATAATTGTCTAAATGTATTTGTTTGTGTTAGTGGTTAAGTGTGTATAGACTCGATCTGTGTGGAATAGCAAGTACCAACAGACCTGTCGAACCAATTAGGTTAACTAAGGATAGTGAATGTATTTATTGGCATGAATGATTGGAGGGTGCCAAAGTGAAAATCTGTATGTAATAACATATGTTTAATGTAATAACAAAATGTGAGATAGACAAAGCATGAGATGCCGGCTAGCCGACAAAAAAATNTACTTTATGTTCTGATCAAGAAATGTAATTATGTAATTTATACATTGTCAATAATAATCTAGGCATAACATAATTTTATTTGGTAATACCTGTAGAAGTCGAGGTGCACCTGTTAAGCTTTGAAGTCCAGCACCAAGAGTAGAAAGGAAAGAACCGATCAAAATTACCCATTCATTTGGCCAGGCCATGTTTGCTACAACAAGTCTACCACCTATACTTTGTCCAAATCTGTAAAAATAAAGTACACATGAAGTACTTTGGTCATCAAACATAATTCTATTATCTAGCAGGCACAAGAAATGCAAATGAAAACAGTAATTTGGTGTTTAAGCTACAGTTTAAAGCTCTTACTTATCTCGAAGAAGTAAATTGTCCACTGTTCCTGCAAATAATAACACTGATGACAAATAAACAGTGGATGTGGTTAAAATGGCACAAATTGTACCAATCGGGATTGATTTTTGTGCATCAGCCAGATCTCCCGATCTGTTTGAACCAGCCATGATGCCTATAAATTAAAATAATTTTGAAACACTTCTCAGTCAGAATGTAAATGTTGAACATACCAGTTACAGATGGAAAGAAAATTCCAATCAAAATGGTAAATGTTGTCGTTATATCAGCAGTTACTTGGTTATATGTGGGCTTATCCAGTGGTGCAATTTCTTCAGGGACATTCGACGAAGCAATATATTCACCTTCACTAAGAAAATATCCTCCAAGGTTATCTGAAAACAAAAACTAATATTCTTTTCTGTTTGTAAACTTATGAGATACAGCAAAACACTCGATCATTTAGTGACACACACAAAACACTTTCTATACAACATACTTGTAAACCCTTGTTTTCTATAAATCATATAATTTAAAAAACAACATAAAAAAATAACAGTGTACCTAAGACTGTGACATTATTGACTAAAGTTATATATCGTTATGATCTGTCAGTTGATATATTGTTTATAACAATTCAATAAAACTTGTATATTTTGTTTTTGGCCTCTTTGGCCTGGATATTGGAATTAAGCGAGAATAGCTTTATCTTGAATAGTTCATTTGAATACTTCATATTTCAACGTATAATCCTTGCTTGCTCAAGTACCTATAAAATTCAGAATTTTATTTTGTGTGGGTAAAGTATGCTCTGACCTCGGTTATCTTAATTGATCATTTCTTTTCAAAATGCTGACAGTACCACTGCCAGCACTGCTGCCAGAGGACACATATTAGGAGAAACCAGCCATCATTGGCACTCATTATGAGGGATTAAGAGGCAAGGAGGTCTCAAGGAAATTATTATTTTAAGTTTGGAAAGGTTAGGAATTTTAGAATCAAGATTGGATTGATTTAATAACAAAAGGAATATAGAGGTAGTTGTGGATAGTAGAAGTTAGTAAGGAGCTGAGGACTTTTGATTGGAAGGATTAGTTGAGCTGGATATTGGATGGATTGGTGGAACCACACAGTTCCACTCCTTACATCCAAAATGGTCGCAGAGTCATCTTGTATAGAGTGAGTTTTGGCAGTCAAAACAGATTTTCATTCTAAAGGTGTAACTGTCCTAGCCTTCTGCTAAGTCACATCAGTCTGATGTCTAGGTGTAGTCTTAAGTATCTGAGAAGTGGAAGTCGGCTCATTGCTGATGTAAAGTAGAGTGCAAGATTGTTTTTTTTTTTTTCAGCCTTTTCTTCCCCTTTTTCCAGCCTTTCATGAGTTCAAGCTGTTCTTGGATTTGGAAGTTACTTGGATAGGATTTGGGTTAGAAGACAGAATTGCAGTGTCATTGTACAGTGTCATGATGTATGCTGCAGCAGCAGTGTAAATGGTGTACGGGATGGGACAAAGAACACTCTCTTGTGAGATGCTGGCTTGTAAGTTTCTCAGTTTCTAAAGATTTGTCTGAAGTTAATGAATGAAACGTGATTTTTTTAACTGACATAATATTTCTAAATAAATCCAGAAGTGTAGAAATAGTGAATTAAAGATTACAGATAAAATAATACTTTAATGGTGATTTTTATGTTAATGAGATTTTTTATATTACCGAAAAAGACACCGCTGGCAAGACCCATGATTCCATTTCTTACAGTAACCTCATGATTTTCATAATACGGATCACAAGTCACTACGGAACCATTTTTTGTGCAGAAAATGTCGAACATCTGTCCTTCTTTGGTGCAGTTTTCAGGACTGATATCTTTGAGAAGGCGATTGCCTAAAACGCACATCCTGAAAAAATAAAGTTTTAATTGTTATTGTTACAATGATTGCTATTACAGTTGACTTACTTTAGCTTGTCATTGCCATAGAAATTAGTGAAGATCCCGACGTAAACAGCAATGATGGACAGAATCACACAAGTCAAAGCGATACCAGCAAATTTATTAACAAATTTAACTCCTATAAAGACAATAGTTCCCATGACCATCAACAAACCAGTGCCATAGACACGGAAATTGTTGTACATAATTTCTACATCTTTAGTGAAATCTCCAAAGATTGATAAACCTGGGGCCATGTAAGTCTGTAAAAAAGATAATAAATTATTTATTATTATTATTGTTAACATTTATTAAATTATGAGCTAAAGAAATTATTACTATGAATTATAATATATACATATATATTATAATACAACATTTTGCTTTATTATTTTTTGTTTATGTGATACTTCAAAGTATTTTGGTAAAAATAATGCTTTAACATCTCTGCCTTCTTTCTATCTTAGTGTCTTGATATAAATAATTTATTTATTTAACACAGTAAACTCCAAATATACTATTAACACTCGAGCTGTACAAGTCTATTACAAATTTTGTACTGAAAAATCAGGGATAAGGCAAATTTGAAAGAATAGAAAAAAAAGTTCCTCAAATTTTCCATGAGTATATACCCTTCATCAGCTCTTTGTAACTATTACTAATAATTCACAAGGTTATCAAATATGAACATCTTCTTACAATAATGAAAAGTATGGTTTCAAGCATACTGAAGTGGAACAAAATCTACAACCTGTACATTTTACATTGGAATTTTTTTCCTGGGGTCACTGGTGACTGTAGTCCCCACTTTACTAATTTATCTAGGCATTAGTGTCCACTTTCCAAATGCGTGTTTCCTTGTAGAGGTTTCTATCTTAGTTTTCATATTTCTATGGTGATAATTAAATGGGCAATGGCCAGTATAAAGGTAGAATTTTGTTTTCTTGGTTGATATGTTGAATTCTTTGATTGTTTTGCACCTGGGGAATTCTTTCAGTGCATGGTTATTTTTTTCTCAATCTGTTCAGTTTGCTTTTAGTATGCTGCAACGCCAATTTGTTATGGTCTAAATGGTGTCAAATAGGCACTTTGAGTTGAAGGTGGAGTAGTATGCCTTCAGTAACTGTATGACATTATTATTATCTTACATTATCTATGCATCTTTTATTCCCTTTTTAAGTACTTCTTGTGCAGAGTTCTATTGCATGGGAGCTTGGAAAACTGATGGTGTGGGGGCTAAAGCTTGCTAGGACAAAATTTGTGCATTTCCATCATCTCCATGATCCATTTTGGATCCATCTATTTAACAAGTAAGACCCTCTTTTATTTTTAGGGTTTTTATGCTTCCAAACATCACTTGATGTTTTGTCAGACATTGTTATATCCATATCATTTTTTAAACCTTTTTTATGATTTTATGGTGGATTTCTCTAAGGTTGTTTTATTTCATTTTGAACCTAAAAGTCTGTTTGCACTTTTATAGGGCATCCCCTGGATGCATGTATGCAATGCCAATCAATCTTTGTAATTTTTAAAATCACTGTTGTGGCTTATTTACCAAAGTCTTTGACCACCAAGACCACACCATGACCACAGTTTGTATACTGACAGGCAAACAATTCACCCACTTGCACTATAACTTGATTTGTATATGTTTTTATATATTAATCTACGTTTCACGTTTTTTAACGTTTAATAATCTAAAAAGTAAAAAAATGTACATTTCTAAGGAAAAAAAGGACATAGAATTGGTTTAATTTTGTTTTAGATTTTTAATTAACATTTCACTATCATGTATTTCCTGTATTGCCTCTTGAGGTTGGCTCTGGGAAAAATTACAAGCTTTATACCATTCATTTCACCTTCTCCAATCTGGAGACGATAGAGCAAATCTACACTCATCTGTAAAAGGTACAGCAGACCAATCATCTAAAGACCAATGGCTGTGTTCTCGAGCAAATGTGAGCCTTGCAACTCTGTGAGTTCTGGTCAATTCTAGTCCTCTTAAGGGGCAAAAAGCCATCAGTCCATACTGATTTAACCTTCTGCAAGCAGTTCGTTCAGAAATTTGGACACCTGGAACTTCCTGGAGCTGATAAATCGCTTGAACAACAGTAAGGTGCCTGTTTGCAAATTTCTCAAAGTAAAAAAACAGTCATCCTGTGAGTCTTTTACCCTTGGGTATCCAGAACCAGGCCTTTGATGGGAGGACCCAGTTTCTCGAAAGTTTCTAATGGCAGTATTTTGTAGGGCACTCCGATGGCAATAGCTGCATACCTGATGGAACGTCCATCATCAATAAGTGTCACACCACGTGCAACATCCTCAGTACTAAGTGGCATGTTTAAGTTCAAAAGTAGAAATTAAGAAAACAAAGATGAAAACTAAACAGTTTATTGCTTCAGAATTCAAATGTGACTGAATAAACTTTTAAAAAAGTAAACATTGAAAAATCCTTTATTCTTGTTTTGGATAAAGGATTAAGTGTATTTACCTCTAATTGATAATCCCAATTTAAAACATAGCATAAACAAATATTTATTGATAGAAACAATAAGACAAAATAAGGGCAAATTTTTTATTGAGAAAAAAAAACAATTGGGTGGAATTTTTTGCTGGTTAGTGTATACCCAACAGACAATTTTTTGTGAATAGGATGAGATGGTAGTACCATTGCATGGCCACCGAGGTCCCCTGATCTCAACCTTATGGACTTCTTTGTTTGGGGTTTTCTCAAACAAGAAGCCTACAAAGTACAGGACAACAGCAAAGAAGATTTAAAGAGGAGAATAACTGATGCAGCACAAAAGTTTAAGGAGAAGTTCTTTCAGTTATTGTGGGAGCTGTTTGGAAACGGGCAAGATTGTGTATCATGAACAGAGGAAGGCAGTTCAAACAAATTTTATCCGGAATGCATTATTGTTTTATGTCATGTGCATTTTTTCAAAATGAGAATAAAAAGAAAGGAAAGGGATGCAAACATGTTAAACTATTTCCACCCCCTTCCCTCAACCGAGACCACATTTTTTCACCTTTGAAGCTTGGTTTCTCTTCCGAAAGAAGTATCAATCACAGTAATGCATACATAACCAGAAAGGTTATTAAATGAAGAAATTTTTGTGTGATTTGTCAGTCTATAAGATTGTTTGTAAAGAAAGTCAAAATTTTAAATTCCTCTAAAAATTCAGGATTTCTGAAATTTTTTGCAATTCCTCTGTTATAAATGACATTTAAGCGGGTCGCAAAGAAATGAAAATGGCGTAGTCCTATACAAAATTTATCGCTTTTTCCAAAAAAGATTCAAAAACTGCGAATAAATTAGGTAAAAGTTGGGAAAACGCGATTTAACGGCATAATGCCTGATAATTTTTTTTTTTTGAAAACACAAAACTATCATAACTGTTGGGGTCCTTCCGAGCGCTGTTAAACCTTGCGGGCCCTCACAAGGGCCGGTTTTGTACCCAGAAAGGTCCCAACTGTTCTGCCCTATCGGGAAGCGGCACAAAACTCCCAGTCACTAAACTGGTGACCCCGACGTGATATGAACACGCATCATGGATGAGGCTAACACCAGCAATCAGCCTCAGGAACAGTCACAGGAGGTATCCGCCGTGGGTCCGATGCCACGCATACCGCCCTTCTGGAGGAACGACCCTGCCTTATGGTTTATCCAGATAGAAGCCGTCTTCGCTACGTCAAGAATAGCATCAAGTTCTGCTAGATATCAACTGGTGGTCGCCAATCTCGAATTGGCACAACTACAACAAGTGACTGACATCCTGCGGAATCCCAGCAAGACACCATACGAAGACTTGAAAGCCCGCTTACTTGACACTTTCGAGGAAAGTGAAAGTGTTAAAGTTAAGCGGCTCCTCGAACAGACTACTCTCGGAGACGAACGACCATCACTCTTCCTTCGTTCCATGCGACAGAAAGCTGGAAACCTCGTCTCAGAGGAACTTCTCCGGAATCTGTGGCTGAGAGCTCTTCCCAAAAGGATGCAAGAGATCCTCGCGACTGTTGACGTCGCAGACCTCGACAAATTATCTATAACAGCAGATAAGATAGCCGAAGTCGAGGCCGCGAACATTTACGCCGTACAAAGTTTAACATCATCATCAGCAAAAAATTGTGCTGTAGCCACCTTGTCTCAACAAGTAGCCGAGTTGGCAAAAAAACTCGAGCTTCTGAAGGGACAGCTCCGACGTCGATCTCGAAGCCGCCCACGAACTCCCTCACGAAGCAGGGATGCCACCCCGGACCAGAGGAACCTGTTTTTATCATCGTAAATTCGGTGATATGGCACGACGGTGCACAGAACCCTGCGAAAAACGAAAAAACTGATTTCGATGGCAGTTCCTTGGGCCAGGCCTGCCTCCGATGTCAACTCAATTTCGGCCCGTCTGTTCGTCAGTGACTCCGCGATTGGAACAACTTTTCTGGTTGACACCGGAGCAGCTGTATCAGTAATTCCACTAGGAATGAAACAAAACCCCCAGTCACTAAAATAACTATTGAACAGTGACAGGATACCCGGTCTGGCATCAACTCCATTTTCAATAAAGTTTAAAAAAAAAATCACACTGATCCACCCTGTATATATATATAATTTTTTTTAAAAAGAATTTATTATTATTACTTTTTTAAAGGGTGCTTATAGATTAAGTTTCTCTTTATGAATAGTCACCTGTTAAATTGGCTTTAACCCTGATTTTTCAATGCAAAATTATAAGAAGGCTGATTGAGAATTACAAATTAGAATAAATGGGGAATCAAAATGAGAAGTTGGTGGCATGGGTGATCGAAGTCATGCTAGCTCAAGTGGTACAGCATTGGAATATTTATTTATCTGAAGATTGGCGTTCGAATCCCAACTGTGACAAATTTTTCATTTCAAAAACGTATGTATAATAAGTTGAATATATTGAGACTATTACAAATGCCAATATTGTTTCAATTCAAAACACAAGATTCTCATTGTAAAAAAATTGTTGTTGTCCTTATAATTTTGTAAAATTTGTTAAAAAATATTTTGTGTGTAAATTATACTTACTAGAACTATTTCAACAGCTCCTATAATGTACATAGCGGCCGCTAGTGTGGTACCCGTATAGAACAGCATTCCGACTGCTCCTCCGAACTCAGGTCCTAGCGATCTGGATATCATAAAGTACGATCCCCCTGCTGGAACCACACCGTTTGTAGCAATTGCGCTCATCGATATCGCAGTCAGCATTGTCTAGAAAAAAATGCACAAAGTTTCACATGTATCTCATGGGTGGCCTGAATGCCAACGTTCACAAGTCATAGACAAAATAATTTTGTCAAATCTCTTCAATGCACAATATTGAATTTGGGTCATGCATATTATACATAAACAGAGATAAACAATTGATACCAGCGGTATAACTTAATGACAAATTTATCGGTTTTATAACGAGTTTTTTTATGATTTCATTTTTTAAAATGCAAAATTAATAAACAAAGAAACCTGTTCGGTCATACGGGGTGATTCTTAACAATGCACACGCACACTTAAAATGCCAAGCTCCAAGTTTGTATTTTCAGGCAGACGTAAAATTGGTCCTGTCGATAGTCAATCCTAGTGAGTTCTCGTGAAAAGGGCTGACGATGGATTTAGCTCTCCATGCTCTTAATAATAATAATAATAATAATAATAATAAATCATTCCCTCATATTTTCCCCACTTTGCTGGGATGCTGTCTATTATTTTCTCAGCAGTATTTATTAACGGTAACATTCTAATGTTCAATATCTTTTTGAAAGACATCAGAGATAACAATGAAAATTTTAGGAGAAAAAACACCTACACTACCTAGGGAAAGACACATTAAGCCTAACCTATTTCTTCTAGCTATTATGTTCTCATTATTTTATCCTTATTACATTGTGTAACCAAATAGTCATGTATTTTGGAAAAGGCGTAAAATTTAGTAAATTATTAAATGTCGTTATTGTGAGAAAAAGTCTCAAGTCAAATTCTGTCTTATTTGGAAAAAAATTCTTTTCCTTTCCATAATGTCATAAGTGACTCTAATGGAGGTTTCTTAGTTTGTCCGGGTCGTCTGCTCCTACTTTAACATGAAACATTGAGTTTTAAATTTACCGTAACTTTACCTTTAGGATCGCATTTTTATGCAAAAAAATAAATAAATGTGAATACGCAAATTCCATTTGTTTTTGCAAAACCCTGCTAGAAATGGAATTCTAATTTTTGATTTTAAAAAATTAGAGAATAAAAGAGGCCGTCGGTGGTTAGGCGTTGACACGGCGCTCATCATTGTAAGGTAAAGGTCCCAGGTTCGAATCAAACGACCCTGCATTCGAACCCGACATTCTTACAAGCAGGTTTTTTTTTTCAAAAACACCGGCATCCCGAGGGTTCATATAACCTCGTAGTTGAAATACCCTCGTTAAAAAAATTATTAATTCATTTTTAGTTTATTTTTGTTTAACAAAATTGTAAACGTGAATGTTCTGATATTGGAATAATAAATCCTTTTACAGATCGCAAAAAGGCCAAATAAATTTGGATTATTTTTGTACGCCACGTGGCGGTAGATAGGCGTACTACAGAAATCTAATGATTGCACCATATAAAGTGTATTAAATAAAATAACATTAAAACCAAATAATCAATTTATTTCTTTGTAAACGTACTTAAATTGCGTCTCCCAAGGGAGTATATTAGGACCAATCCACAATATAGTCTACACCGCTGATATACCTATACATCTTAACACCCACATCACGACTTTCGCTGATGATACAGCAATCCTCACCTCACATTCTAACCCTATCCTTGCAGCAAAAGCATCCCAAGACCACCTAGACCTCATTACCGACTGGTGCACTCGGTGGCGCATCAAGCTAAATGAACAAAAGACGTGACGTTCAACTTGGAAGTACCTACCCCCATTGCACATATACAGCAAGATAATCCCCCCTTCCAACAAAATTCGTTACCTTGTACAGCAGATTTACATGGAACACACACATAAAAAAAAGATAAGGGCTGAAATGAAAATATGTACTCCTCATAACACTCAAATATGGACACAACGAACTAATTATATACAAGAAACTAATTAAACCGATTTGGATTTATGGAATCAAGCTATAGGGTTCAGCCATGCTATCCAATATCAAAAGAATCCAATCCTTTCAACCAAACGTCCTTCATCGCATCCGCGCTCTCTTCTATGCCACAAACCAAACCATCCTCAATACGGACATATCCAAACACGATTCCACAACTTCCACTCCAAGCTCTCCTTCCACACCAATCCTCTTCAAGCCCTCTCTTCAACATTCCGACCTAACCATCTTCCTTCCACGCCATCTCAAAAAAACCGTGGTATCGTGACCTCATAACACAACCTTAAACCTCAACTAATAATCCTAAGTTCCAGCAATGGCCGGCTCCTCTCCCACATCCCCATCCCCGCGATGTGACATTTTCCAGCCTCATCTTTCATTAATGACTTCCAACGAATTGTCAAATATGTAAATTTTTGTTCTGAAAATAATAATAATTTAAAAAAATGGATTACGTCTGTCCCTAGATCCTTATATGAACAATGAAGAGCATTTGAACTTTAATACAGTACAAACATTTCACCTAATAAATCGTAAAATACCTGGCATGTGAATGATTGATGATGAATATGTCCCCAAATAGATTTATGAAATATTGAGGAGAGCTCTATAAAGTAATGAACCTGAAGGTTTATAGTTTTTTTATCATCCTTTTTATTCTCGTTTTATTTAATGCGTCTTATTTCGCGGGTTTGGTCTGGACTGGCATTCGCCATCTTCACTTGGTCTGTGTGATTTCTGTAAATGAAGTGTCACTTATAAGATCCGGGTGTGTCGGCGTTTTCTTTGTTTGTCGGTGCCTTTGGTGGACTATGTGTTTCTTTTTATTGTTCCTGATTTCACATAAATCACATTGACACACTGAAGATGGCGAAATGCCAGTCTGACAGACCAACCCAGAGAAGATAGGCCAAATTGATTGCTTAAGACCAACTTGCAGGTTCATCACCCAGCAAAACACATAAGGGAATCTCACGATTATTCTCGTTTATTTTTTTAATCTGTCAAGCGCGTTTCGGTATTCCGTCATCTTCAGTAGTTGTATTGCATGTTATTTTGTCCATTTATACGTTACAAAAAAGGCAGAGAGGGACGATTCGGCATGTTCTTTGATAAGGTCGTCAGTTCGTTTTTGTTGTTTTATGCAGTGGTTTTAGTTGTGTTCATGTGTTGTGATTGTTTTCGAATATTAATTTTCTGTCGTTCTTGTCATAGATCAACTAGTCTGAATTGTTGGCAGTACAGGGTGGTTTTGTTGATGTGAGTATGGCGTTCATTTTTCTCCACAAACTATCTTATGCATTTCTTATATCTTTTTCAACCTCTGCTGAGTGTGGAGTTTTAATGAAGAAAACAACCAGGTGCTTATAAATTCATATGTAAACTTCCCAATGTGGGGCTTAGGCGGAACTTGTGGCCTTGAGTTCCCTCTCAAAAGTGCTCAAGACGTTGATAAGAAACATCCCTCTCTCAGATATACAGCCTCTTTTTTCTCATTTAGAGTATGTAAAAAGAAAGAAAAAATACAGAAAAATACAGTGATATGGTTTCGAGAAGACCACACGTGGGGTTTGTGGAGCTTGTGGTTTATTCCTTTTTTTCTCCAAATTTTATTAACATTTCGTCCTTTCAGGTTCTCTGTTTTGTGAAAGATGTCATCATCAGGGATGGCCTTATTTTATTGGATACGAACAGATTAGAGCAGAGTTTGAGAGGCAGTAGAGAGAAGCACCAATTGAAGGCGGTGGCACTAAAGAAGTAGACAGTGAAGACTTGATGATGAAGAAGCCCCTTGGAACTTCAAGCTCTGCCAGTTTCAGGCTCTGAAGGTGAAGAAACAGTTTTGGGGAAGGATGAACATTTTGACGAAATCGACTTTAATCAAAAGTACAAGCCAAAACTCCACAATGAAATGTCATTTATCTTCTAGATGCAAGACGTGTCTGAGCATGTAAAAGGCGTTTTCCTATTTTGAATTATTTAGAAGAATGGACATCACACTAATGAAGGAATCAGGAGCCAAACCCCGGACTTAGAGAAGATGTGGAACTAACTGAAGTTTTTTACAGAAAATTGAGTCTTCTATTTTTCAAAATTGCCATTTTCATGCCTTATTGATCTCCAGGGGAAGTCGAACTGCTTCTTTTTGTAAGTGCAAATCGCTTTTTAGCGTCCCATGGCATGAAATTTGGATTTGGTATACTCGTAAGTTGTAAGACCCTTTCTTGTCCGATGTGACGCCAGCGTACCAAACATGAGTTGGGTCAGCTCGTGACGTGGAAATGGAGTGTTAATGCTCTTCCGAATCCTTACGGTCTTTTTCTGGCTGTCTTTGAGTTCCAGTCTTTTCTGGTCCCGAAAACCTCTGAAAAGGGCATCGAAAATGCATTAAATGCGAACCTGGTTGTTCTAATTAAAACCCCGCACTCAGCATGTAAACGCAACAACCACGATGATAATAAAAAGATAAAGGATTCTATTTTTCTACTCAATGGTAGGTTATCGTACATACGCAGTTTCTGTCTAATTTTAAGTCACTCTTATTCAATATTTCTTCGAATGCAAAGCAACTGCTAAATGGAAACATAACGTAGGGTGCCATGATGACCTTGGATAGAGAATAACAGCCAATGAATTTTCTAAGGAACTAAGGAAAATAAAATAATACAAAAGGCTAAAGTGCTTTGAAAATACCAAACCCCTGCTAAGCAGCTAAATACCCTCCTTCTCATCATCATTTTGTCAACATTTTATCTTAGAGGCTCTCAATCAAATGAAACTTGGTGAAATTTTATATTTTTCGGTTTTGCTTCTAACAAAATTTAATTTCACTACAGTTTCTGACCCCTTCGCCTAGTTGTAATTAACAGGGGGCAAAGGGAAGAAGTTGAACTTAGGCGAATCGAGGATTACAACCAAGAGCGAAATATGAAATTGTCTCAGGCAGTTTCCAAGCGACATGGTACGTTAGTCAACTTTGCGGTTGGTTTATTTTTCTGACGAGTACAGGCCCCTTATGATCGTAAAATAGCAAAAATTAAGAAAGTTAGTGTGAAATTATTGTTTATTATTGTCAGCAATAACAGTGTTTTTGTAGAGGAATGGTAAGCTGAATGATTGCTTTATTTAACTTAAGTTTATTTATTATTAAATATCATCGTGTACTTGCTATCTGTAATAAAATAGCAGCTTATTCTCTACCTTAATATGAGTCTTTTTACCTTATGATTGTTGTGATATCTTGACTTGTATATAAAAGAACAATTATTTATACTTTTTGCCTGTACCGTCAATCCCTTCCAGAGTAGATTTCACAACAATAAAATGAAAATTCTAACAGGTTTTGTCTCCACTAATCATAATCATTTTGGCTCTCAGAAGCTCCATAACGCGAGAATTTATTTCTCATTGTGTATTGAAACCGGCTACACGTAGTCCGTCACAGTCATTAATAAGCGCACACAAACTCAGCAGCAAAATTTCCTCGCACATAGGCATGCCCACAGCATTTGGAAAACGTACATAATGCATAATTATAGTCCATCTATATGGATATCAATCATTATTTACATTTGGACAAAGTGAGGGATGGTCATCTTTTTAGGACTTTTAAATACTGAGGAATGATCTTTGTTCTTGTTTTTAATGACCATTTCTCACTTAATAATATTTTCGTTTGTTTCAATATTTATCTAGTCAATGAGCTTTCATGCTAGTTATCTGTTAAGGATGTAACCGCCCTTGAATTCCGTTTTAAAACTCTTAGGAGACAATGAATTACTAAAGTAAATAAAACAAAACTGGAAGTTTTAATGCTATGAGTCTAATTACCACAGAACAACAGCAGAGCACAATTAAAAAACCTTGGATGGCTCCGGCAGTGCCGACAACCCAAGTTAGACGGATGAATAGGATGACGCCGAAGATATTCTGTATGCATGGAAGGTAAACACCGACCAGCGTTCCCATGGAGGCGCCTCCAGTTTGGGGCTTTGCATCCGGATCTTCTGCGGCAGGAATCGTATTGGAGTAGTTGGCTAGGGAGTTGATGAGTGTCGATATCCTGGGCCGATCCTCCATCTCTTCCTGCGTACATAAAACAAATAAATAACAAGTTGTAATCTGATTTTTTTAAAATGCTCCAAAAAGCATGTTTATAATGTGTACAATCATGGTATTCTTGTAATCAATGACAACTTCCTGTTTATCACGACAAGCGTATATCGCCTCGTTTCTTATTCAAATCCACCAATCGGTTCGTGTATAATTTGAATAAACCACGTTAATTCCGTTATCTTCCCTTGTCCTATCATTATCTGGTCTATATTTAGCTCCTTCTACGCCCATCTCTAAACAATCGCTCAACTTATTAGGAGGGACCTGCACCTTAGTTATTCTAATTATTCACGTCGACCGTGTCTATTTTCAGCCAGAGACATTATGTGTTTCCTTAATAATAAAATGCTTTTGACATTGTTTTACTAGAGATAACACAATTAAAATGTACAACCCTGTCAATTACTGCTGTAAAAACGATTTCAATTAGTTGACACATTTTATTTTACATTTTGGCAATTGAGTAAAAATACAATTCTAAAAAAATTGTTCGGAAATCGTGAGATGCCGTCTGGTGTGATGTAGGTTTCAGAAAAACATTTTCTTTATCCTGCCAACGTTTCGATCTTTATTGAGATCATCTTCAGAGCTCAAAGTGTTTGTTTTCTGCGTAATCATCGATTAACGGTCACTAATCACCACATATTCTAAAAAAAGCGAATTTGTCCTAGTTCTTGGTGCTCTAATTATTACATATAAATCAAGACATAAGTACAAAACTCAAAACCACCTAACTCCTGACAATAAATCTCTATGGACGACAACGAATCGTACCCTTTCTTGTCTTTTGGGTCTCTTGGATCCGAAAGGGATCTTGTTTTTCACTTTTACAAAAAACAAAACAATCCCTTCTTTATATTTCAATAATCTTCCCATCCACGTTGCGAACAACGTACGATACCTTTGTCTGTACCTCGACAAATGACTTACGTAGAATCCCCGTACGAGACTCAAACGTAAAAATTAACTGTTAAAAAGACTACTTGACAAGCGATCAAACTTACAGTAACAAAAAAATACTACACACTTCTTTGCTAGCCCCACTAAGGCCATACGGACTTGAACTGCTAACGTTATAGACAGAAAGTACGAAAAAGAAAAATCCTGTCTGCCCAGTACCTATCAACCGTCCTAAGCCGCAATTACGTCCATAATCTCTACACATAAATAAAGTCAAACAGGAGTTGAACACACCTTTTAATTAAGACTTTTTATTATCCCTTCGCACTGCTGATGGCAGTTGGGACAAAAAACCCAACGAAGAAAAACCTATCTCTGCCTAGCACCCATCCTTCATCTCACACCGAATAGTGACATCCATAACCTCCTCCACATACAAAGGAAGTCCTACAGGATTTGAATACCTCTTTTATGGAAGAACCCTTCCCAGAGAAAATGCTCTCTCTCTCTCAACAGCACCTACCACCATCTTCACCATACATCCATCAACTTTTAACCATGAATAATGTTGAACAAGACGTGAATACTCTTTTACCTCTTTCTATCTTTCCTGTTTTTTTTATTCCTTCCGACCTTAAACTGTTCATCTCCACTTAAAAAAAAAAAAAAAAAAAAAGATTCCTGGATTTGATTTATTTATGAGTCAAAGCAATCTACCAAGAAAAAGCTTGGTTTTTCCTTACTCTACTTCTTTAGTGACTGGGAGTTCTTGGTGGCCCTGAGAAACTACTCCGATTTGCTGCAGAATGGAGACCGAGACCATTCCATAACCGGTAGTGGCACCTAGCGGGTACCGTGGCAACTGCTGGTGGCCACCACAACCTCTGTCCTACGAACAACGTATTTCCCAGTTCTTTTGAAATTTCCCACTATCATTCTCCTTTATAAACGAATGGTTTCATTCAGTCCTGTCAATCTTCCTTCATCAGAGTAAAAATCTCGAGAAGCTCCTATTAAAACGTCTTTACCTCATCACTGAATCTCACGAAACTATTCCGAGCCGCTGGTTTGAATTTAGGTTGTTGTGGACGTCATTTCGTTATCCCTTGAGCAAACGATGTTCTTTGACATCTCAAGCCTACGACAGGGTTTAGCACCCTAGTGACCTCTAGAGACCTCTAGTGGAAGGTGAAGAGCCTACATAACACCTCCTGCCTAATTCTAAAACCGTACCTGTCTAACTGTTCCTTCAGAGTTTGACAGGACACAGAGATGTTTCCTATTTAACCTGGAGTCTTACATTCCTCCCAGAAATAGTACTTTCAAACAATTTGAAATGTGTCGACATTTGGTCTAAAAAAGTCCAAAACAGGGAGTTCGTATATATCAGAGAAATGACAGTCAAAACGAAGTTTATAATGAAGTTCAACGCCTAAAATGTTCTATTCCACAATTTCCAATTTTCCACTCGAAACTTTAAGTGACGATATATCAAAGCTAGGAATTTTGTCGTGCTGAAGATTACACATAATCATTTAGTTTATAACAAACCCTTTATTAAATATTTCAGCCTTTCAACGTAAAGCGAAGAGAGAATGAGCTCAAAATACGAAGTTGGAGTCATCAGAGTAGTTAGAGATAAAGCAATCGGGAGCACTAACGAAGGTAGGCAAGTGGTTAATATAGAGCAGAATCTTTCTTTCATTTGACTACACTGTAATTAGTTTCTAAAGATTATCAAAGTGATAGCCTGATTACTAAAATGCGCTTAATAATGAAGGCATATTACATAAAATATTTAACCATATACGTGAATAATGGCATAAATATCTTCTCCATCATTGTCACGGTATAGAATTTTTACTCAAGGTACTTATTCATGCTGAATAAAAATTTCAGCCCGAAACGTGATAACAGGGTGCCTGCAAAATTGGTCGTATAAACCGGAAACTCATTTTAACGAGGATGACAAAAGCAATAAACTCATATAGCCCTTGAGATTACTTGACGGTAAAATGAGCCCCTTTCATTAAATCCATTAAATCACGTTTTACATGCCACCGAACTTGGCCGCGTTCAAGTGAAACAGTTTCCTGATTACAGTCGAAGGCAAAATTTACTTCATTTATAAACATACCTTTCAAAAGACGGATAATTCACACTTACTAGTCTTTTTGGATATTCTGAACGAATTTATCGAATCAACTGAAGTTTAATTGACTTACAGATAACAAACAATACCATAATTATTATTTGTTGACGAATTGTTCTTAAAGACATGCCGGGTGCGGGGTTTGACTGACTAGTATTCAGTCTATCACAGCTTAAACGACGAATTAGTTGAATATGCATATGGTGAATTCACCTCTGTTTTCTAATAGCTTTTTAAGTAATTCGTATCTTAGTTCGAGTTCCTTTTGAGTCGGGTATGAGGGTTCTAGAGTAAGTAGGAAGGTATGTATGTTTTGGGATTTTGTGTGTTGAGCTTGATTTTCCATTTTTATCCTATTGTTAACCCTATTGTGACATGGAATGTGAATATGCCTGGAGAGTCAGATTTGAAGGAAGGGCACTATGGTGAGAAGGGATGTAAGCAGAACAAACTGAAAACAGTGACGCAGCCCTGAGGAGCGCCCACGTCTGCCTTGTCCAAATGAGAGTAGAGGTACCCGTACTCTAAATACAAATATTTAAACAGTCCAAGAAGGTTTAAAGACGAGCCGCGCATGTAGAGAGTGGAATGCTGATCGGAGTTGAAACCTTGAATGATAGTTTCAGTAGCATATGCTAGGATAATGGCATCAGGTTGGTAAGGGATCAGCAGTATAAATCGAGTACACTAACGGACTGAATACGCTACCGTGAGGGCAAGTAGGACTGTTAATTAGATGAGGAAATGTGTAGAGAGTAAGATGCAGGTCGGAGTAGAATGGCAATATTATTAGTGTATGTTAGGATAATGGCGTCAGCCAGGTAAGGGAAATAAATAGTAAGTACTGAGTACAGCAACAGACGCCTCCCATGAGGAACATCCGCGTCCGCTTGGTACAAAGGAGTGTAAGAGGAAGTGATCCATACTCTAAAGTACCCATCGGCTAGCTACACCTATAAGATGAGAAAATGTGCGTATGGTATGATGCCCTTCAGTTTCCAGAGCAAAGCTAGTTGCCAGACTCGATCGAAAGCCTTCGACATCGAAAAAGACCTCGAGCATCAAGGTAAGACGCAATGATGTCCCCACACGTTGGCACTGTTGAACATTAGAATGGTGGTTGAGGATTACATTAGAAAATTCGAGGAGTTTATTTACTTACAGTGTTTTTCCATTTTACCAAGAGATGGCAGTTGGATGTTTAAAATTAACATTAAAAATTGGCAGGTTGTGTGCTTTGTTGGGTTTAGGGATTGGGTGAACTATAGAACTTCCAAGGCGTCTGGAAATGAGTGGTACTATTATATATTATATAAGTATTATAAAGTCTGGTTAGGAAAATTATAGATTTTGTTGGGAGTTTACGAAGTGTAATGAGGTCAAATCGAGGAGCTTTCTGAACGGGTAGATTTATAATTTCGTATTTGAATCCGGAAGTGGTAAACAATTTAGGAGGACTGATAGTATGGAGCTCTTGTAAGGATTCTTGAAGTTTTGAGTCGTACAGGAAAGCTTCTTCTTCATTGGCTGAGGACTCTACGCGATGGAGTGGAGAAGGAATAAATTTGCAGGACAAGATTCTTTAGTCTCATTTTCAGTCCTGAGAGTCATCAGTCGCTTATGGTTGAATAAAAAAAAAGCTCTCTTCTGTTATATGTATTAATTGTAAAGAGGAGTGAAGAATCAGTGTACAGCAAATCTTAAAAAAGTATGTAGTTGAAAGATAAAATGAGAGTTACCGAGGTGCTACTGGTTTCGCGAAATAAAGTTTAACGCTTGGGCTAATTGATCTCTTCCGTGATTTTCCAAAAAAAAGGAACCTCAGAAAAACTTCATCAGACGAGATTTGTTTATTGTTGTCCATTATTCCTTTATTTTATCTATTATGAACTTAAATGAGAAGGGGCCTGGGTATGATTTATAATCATAAACACCGCTCATTTTTTCGAAGAAAAACGTGAACAAATGATCGTTTTAATCATAAAATCATTCAAAATATATGTAATTTTTTTAAATTAAATTTATTTATTAAAACTGGTCTTATTAGACCAACGATTAATTTTACAATAATATAAGTTAAGTAATCGCTCGAACCTTACCAATTGAAACATAGTTTATCAACTCCCTTCTGGAAAATTGGGCGTCAAGGAGAAATTCGAGCTCGATCAGAACTAATCGCTTCTACTGAAAAATATTTTTTCGCTGTCGGTGCACTTTTCCCCAAAACTTTCATCATATCGGAACGATTTTTTGTTTGTGTTGTAGAGCAATAATAAGGGGCGTCGGTGGCCGCAAGGCTTAGTCTTTGACACGGCGCTCATCACTGTAAGGTAAAGGTCCCGGGTTCGAATCCAGCGGCCCTGCATTCGAACCCGACATACTTACAAATTTTTTTTCAAAAACACCGGCTCCCTGAGGGTTTAAAAAAAAAAAAAAAAAAAGGCAATAATAGATAATAGGCAAATATTCGTACGGACCAATATATTTAACTAATTCCAAGGAGCGGAGAGATAAAGAAGAAAGATGGTTAAGAAAGATGGTTTTGTACTCCCTTTGAACCACTAAATGTCCTTGAAAAATTGCTGAAATACGGTAAAATTGTAGAGTAGAAATGGAGACAGACAAGAAAATGGGAAAACTGTTCGTACAAAAAAAGGTCGTTACCCCCTTTTTTAAATTAAATATTACAACTACCCACAATTTTGGGTAACAAGTAATAGTGGATAAGAGTAAAGAAAAGAAAACAACAAAAAACGGTGGCGTCAGTGGCCGCAACGTTTAAGCGCATAGTTTAATTCCCTTAGCTCTGTATTATTGTTCTAGTAAATGAATATATTGCGACAGATTGCTAGGAGAATCAAGCCCGGATGGCACATCCGATCAAAGGCCTGAGCCACATCGAGGAATGCCCCAGAATAGAACTGCCTCTGCTCTATGGAGGAAGAAATTAGGTCTACCACACGATAACACTACTGTGTGGTGGAATGGCGGCTACGGAATCCAAAGTAATGGTCAGGAATGATGATTCGCGATTCTAGTGTAAGTATATTTTTGGTGTAAGTATGATTACGTAGCTCTTATATTTTTGTGCCGATGAAGGAAAAAATATTTCAATTGGGCAGTCAAAAGGAGAAAACAGGATGTCCGGTCTAACGACAGTTAACCTTCGAAGTCTCATTTCCTTTGGGGATTAGTTGAAAATCTTGCATTTCGTCCAGGGGAATGGGCGAAAGGTGCAAATTTCGCGTACACCCCTACCACTACTTTCAGAGCTATTTCGCCCACTTTGATATTAAGGCCGTTCTTTTCTACTTATTATAGCACTCTTCGAAAACATTTAAAGCTTTAATATATTTTTGAAAGCTTGTTAAATAAAGGTGTCTGAGAAAAGATTTTACTATGATCTTTTGACAAACAAAAAATTAATTTTTCCCTCTCAACTTATTCAGATATAGCAATGAAGGCCGCAGTTGCTTTCAGATAATTGATATAAATCTTTATTCACGGAAAAGAATTTTCCTATGAAAAAGTGGGCTTTCATTAACAAAATAAGCCAATGTAAACGGAAAACTTTTCTCTTTCTTCATTATCGATTTTGAAATTCCCGGTTCTGGAAGTGGCAGATTAAGATTAATGTTACAGAGGGCTTAATCACTTTCACATTACGTTGAGGTTTTCTTCTCCCCTAGTATCCCTCGATGGGACTTCGCGGCCGACTGAAAACAGGAAAATCACCGATACTTCTTACTTATTTCCAAGACAGCCAAGTTTTCAATGTTTTTCAATTAAAAGTTAGTCCATTCAAAGCTTTGTATTATTTATAACCTGAACACCATAAGGCATGTCCAACGACGTTTGTCGCGCTGCTTAAAGAAAGATAATTAACACTATGTAAATTTAGAAGACTGTTAGAAAAAATAATTAGCTTTATTTTCTGTAACTTTTTGAAAATGTTGCCTTCTTTTTTGTGCAGTAACCTGATTTTTTAAATTCATCCTTCATTGATCTCAGTAGTTTGAGGATCTAGATTATTTTTTACTTTATCTATTTTTTAGACAAAGTCCATTGGTCAGAGATTAATTTAGGCCGCGACAGCCTCCGAGGCACGAACCGCGGGGAGACCCGCTGCCGCCCCAAAGGCTCAACCATTATTTTCCTTACATGAATAACATATTGACAGACCCCTTTTGGAGAGTGTGGTTGAAAACCATTTACACACAATTTATTGAACCCCCGGGGTCCGGGGTTACACCGCCCAGACAGCCCCTGTGAGGCACCGCCGCCGCCGCCGGAATCTCTTGACAGGAACATAGCTTCTAAAAGGAAAAAATCCAAAATTGGAAATAGAAATAATAATAATGATAATGCTTTATTTATTATTTCTACTTTTTACAATATTTTCCAAGTTTTTAATTTATTTTTATTTTTTATTAGCATGATATATTACGGCATGGAAAGACCGTCTGCCGGAAGTCAACCAAAAAAGAAAGAAAAAATAAGAAAAAAAAATTAAGGGGTTGTTGATGTAAGGAAAACAATGAAATATTATTATATATACAATTATGAACTAAGCTATTACCATTTTAAATTAAAAAAATATATCTTACATTAAAAACATATGCATAAATATATACTTATATATAATNAATAAATTTATATATATTTTCCTTCTAACGAGAAACTCGATTTTAAAAGTTGAAATGTTGTACTAATTCGTATCTGTAAACCCATGCTTCACGTGTGAACTGAGCAAGAGGCTGACTTTGATGATTTATCGAGTTCAGTAGGCAAAGCAGCCGAGCTAGTCATCGTTCGCTGCCCCAGATACAAAAGACGAAACTCTGCCGGCACAGTGCAGTGGTTATATACCACAGACATGGCGTAGGGCAAATGTAGTGTTCATACCGAAAGTGGGGAAAAGAGATCATACACTACCCAAATCCTACAGACCAATCAGCTTAACATCCTTTCTACTGAAAGCCCTTGAAAAGCTGATAGACAACCATATAAGAACGGAAGCACTGATAGACAAACTACTCCATCAATGTCAACAGTAAAGGAAGGTCAAAAGAAACTGCTCTGTACCAGTTAATCAGTGACCTAAAGGAAACACTGGAAACAAGGGAAATAACAATCTGCGCGTTCCTCGATATTGAGGGAGCCTTCGACAATGCATCTTATGCATCCATGAAGGTCTCCCTAGGGAAAAAAAACACGTAGACCAAACCACATCTAGATGGATTGGAGAAATGCTAAGAACTAGAACAGCTGAAACAAATATAGGACCTAGACACTATAGAAGTTAGCACAACCAAAGGATATCCTCAAGGAGGGGTACTGTTCCTCCAAATAAATTCTCGAAAAATGGCAAAAAGGAGGGAAAATTCGAGAGGTGAGGTTGAGATGTAAGGTTGGTCACATAACCCTATCCGAGCGGTTCGAAGTCACGATAGCTCAAGTGGTAGAGTAGCCGTTAGCTTCGTATTTAGCTGAAGGTCGTGGGTTCGAATCCCGCTCGTGACGCCGACTTTTTTATCTCAACCAATACCTTTCATAAATATTAATTAATTGACTAATAGGATTCTTAACAGGGCACTGCAAGCTAAATGGACACTTAAAGAAGATTGGAATAATCCAAGACGGCACATGCAGATTTTGCAGGGAGGCAGAGGAGACACTATCACATCAACTGGCAGACTGCGGAGCTACACTTGCCCGCAGGAGGAATATCAAAACTACTGTCAATACTATCAAGAGCTACAGTCTACAAAGAAACATTACATTTATTTGCCTCGATCGAAGTTCAATTTAGCCAAATTTGCTAAATTAAAAATATCTGTCGTGGAAAAAGCACGACGAAAGCGTGTTTGTGATACACTTAGCAAATTATTAGATGATACAAAGGTTTCCACTCGTTTTAATAAAATTCCTGAAAATATTTTACCAATTGAGTCAATGGAAGAGATGCCCCTGTTGTTAGTGACTAGGTTTGAATCACATTTTTAAAAAGTGGAAAGAGGGACTTTCCAAAGGATCGCGGAACGTCACCTGCTTCATAAATGAAATTAAATAGGTCAAGTACACGTTCGAGGAAGCTTGTGGGTGCGTTTTTGTAGAACTCGTACGGGATGAGATTGGGCCCGGCCAATTCGTTATTTTTAAGACTATTCAAAACCATTTTTGACTCGCTGAAGGAAAAGGGAGTATCCAGAATGGCATTTTCAATTTATGACTTCGCGAAATATACTTCCAAAAGCTTGCTTGGGTTCAGTAAATTAAAAATATGGGTGGCGAAAGTGTCTAGGGGTATGTTTGGTTCATAAGTAAAACCATTAATACTTCTAAAAATGTTAATTAAGTGCCAAAGTTCCTTAGGGTCGCGAGCAGATATTAATTGATTTGCTGCCTGTGAGAAAAAAAGCTGTTTTTTTATTGTTACACAGCAATTTAAAAGTATTTCTGGCCTCCACATATTTCGCCCTAACTATAGCTGAATTGGTCGATCTATAGAGGTTTAGAAGAGAAAACACTATAGACCTTAACACATAGCACTTATGATCAAACCAGAGATTTTTGTTAGCCGGGGCACGAGGCTATGATGGGTTTAAAGGATAAGCCGTTTTAATGTCTGTGACCAATATGCCCAGTTGTTTTTGGGGATTTTTTGAGATTTGGACCATATTGTTGGTGTAGCTCTTAGCGAGCTCTTGTCGCCATTTAAGTTGGGGCAAACGTGGGATTTTCAGGTGAAGATTCTTTTTTAGCAATTTGAAAGTAGATTGGAAGGTGGTCAGAAAAGAAAAGAGGGAGAACTTGGAAGTTACTGATTAGAGAATAGCTTTCAAATGAGACGCAACAAAGAATTTGTAACAGATAAAGGTGAACTCTTCCCCATCCGAAGGCACACGACCGTTTAGAATCACCAAATCGTGATCCTCATACCAATACCTGCTCCAATACCTGCCTACCAAATTTGTTTATGAATTTATCTTTACCATTTCTAAGAAAATGAAAGTGTTAATTAGTTTTGAGTTCTTCAGGGAACTTTTGGAGAAGCCCTATACGACCATTAAAGTCGCCAACAACAATAAAATTAAAACTGGAGTTATTATTTAACAGTTTTTTCAACTTAATAAATTCAGCATCCCATGAAGAGATATTTAGATAAATAGACACAATATGTACTACACTGTTACTGGTTGTTGCTACCAAACCAATGTCTCCAATTTTTAGAAATTGTACTAAACCTTTTCTGTAGGCAAACAGACAACTACCTACAGCTCTACCGAACTTACTATTTTTAAAAGCAGGAATGGAACAGAGTCTGAAAATAAATTAACATAGTCATTACACTTCTCTAGGGAAACAAAAGTTTCAAATAAAACAAAAACATCGGTATTCTTCAAAAAATTTAAAAATAAAGGGTCACTTATTTTCGATTTCAAACCATTAAATGAAACAAAATCATAGCCGGAGTTGTTATTACTAACTTGACGGCAGACGGAGTGCTTTCAGTCAGGCAGAGGTTCGGGCAAGAAGTCCTGTTCCTGATGGTCTTGGTTCTGGAGCGGCGGGCTTTTTCGGGGTGATGGGCCGAGCTTAGTTCCAACACGAATTCCGAGAAGTCCTTATGCGTTATTGGCTTTAGTTTCTCAATTCCATCCTGGTTTCCAAATAACAACCCTTTATCCATGCGCCATTTAAATTTAGCGTTGTTGACAACCATAAAGTCCGAAAAAACAGCAACTTTAAGAAACTGTCATGGCGCAGTAAAAGTCGGCGGATAGCCAACAGTTTCGATCTTTTTTAAAATTTATTTCCTTCCCAAAGCTTTGCAGCAAGAATCTTACCGGGAATTTGAAAATAAATGTTGTAAATAGATGTTGTGGATTCCTTATTTTATCACTTGTGTAAACTTTTCAAAAGTCATTGATTTTCTACAAAACAATTGAAAAGAAAGAGAGACCATAATAAATAGTACGTCCGCACACGAGTAGGTTTCGGTGTTGACTCCGAAACAGAAATATAAGAAGCATTAGAATGAAATTTGACTCTTGCATATGAAGCCATACAGGATTCTGTAGATTGTTGTACTGCCTGTACTTACAAGAGTCCCTAGATTGAAGGGGCTCTCGACCGAGTTAGCCTTCCACAGCTTGTAGCATATCTCCTCTCTGCAGTTCGAATTTTTTGCAGCTCATTACAATGTGGTTGAGATCTTCTAGTTCGTCGCAGGAATCACATTTTGGGAAAGACCTACACCCTATGTTGTGCAGGGAGGCGCCACATATGCCATACAAGTACGGAGACGCGACATTGTGGAGAAGAGGAAGACTTTACTAGAAGGCTTTATCCTTTCTAATACCCGTTGCTGCGAACCACGGTTTCCTTCTTAAACCGGGAAATAGGGAGATGTAAGATTCCCCACAGAGGATGCAAGATAAGCCGTTTGCCAGTTGTTTGGAAGTTGTTTATTTGTATTGTTTTTGTAGTCGCTTGCTGAGATGGGTATGTCCAGAGAGAAGTCTTCTAGTGAGACCAGTTTATCTACCGTCTCGTTATGACCTCTGATCCAACAAAGAGCTATTTCAACTCATGATATTCATAGAATTTCCTTACAACCTCGAATGGATAAATTCGCATTTAGTGTTGATGGAAAGGTCCTTTAGCTGCTTTATTGTGCTCAGACCGTCCGTTAGAGCACATATTTTACGCGACTGACGCGTACTCTAGCGCTTTTACGATGGGACAAACCGCTATGAGACATTCTGGGGCCGTGTGAAGTTCCTTTAATATAAAAAAAAAATAGCTCTCTATTTAAGATTAGCGAGAAAATATTTTGTAGTATAAGGTTTGGTAGGCCAATACGGGTCAATTTTTGACATAATATGCTTAGATGGATGGTACCATAAGCACCCTGTATAACCAAGAACAGCCTGAGAGTGCACTTTCTGTCCGTCAAAGCCAGCGTTATGTCGCAGACTAGTGGCATATGCACTTCCATTACCGATCTACCTTTGCGGAAGCCGTACTTTGTAGGGGTAGTAGTATTCCTGTTGTGTTCATCATCCTGTCGTAATTTTTTGGAAGCCGGACATTAGTTAGTTCAACGTCAGTTTCATTAAATTTGTTTATTATTTCATTGCCGATTATTGCCATTTTCATATTACTGTTGCTACCCTTTCATCGTATAACGCGAATCGCTTTTGAGACGTAAAGGCCATTTCCAAGCTGTTTAACCTATTTCATCAAAGGGTTAATATCTATTTTCACAATATTCCCTAACGTAATTTGAGCGTTCAAACGCCTCTTATCGTGCTAAGCACGTTTCCTACCAACACTGCCTTCGCTTTCTTACGTATTCCGCTCACCATGGAAGAAAACCAATAAATAATGTATATTTAGTATTTTCGCCCGGGACGTATTGCTTTTGGTTTTATCATGTTTTTATATTATTTAAAAAATGATAATCTTGATTGATAAATTAATATTTCTAATGGGCAAAATAAAGCATTAGGTCATGTCCCAAAGTATTGGAAATAAGGTTAAATATTTAGACATTTATTATTAATCAATAGGTGTAGAAGACAGCAAACATTAGTACAGAGCTCTAAGGTATGAAAAAATAAAAAGGCAAACTTGTGTAGGGTTCCCGATAAGTGATGCATCCGGATTTATATTCAACATGAGAGGGCACCAGAATTTAAAATATATGCACTGACAAAACCATTTCATGTCTGACCACTTAAAAAAAAGTTTTAGAACGGCTTACTTTCAAAGGAATCTTCCTAATTCTTATTTACAAAAAAATTATCCCCGACCATCAGTGTGGTTTTCGCAGCTCTCTCAGCAGTACAGCAGTGCCACCGCGTTTTAGATGTGACTTCTGCCTCCATTGATTTGGTATTGTTCGGGGGTCTTCCTTGTTGTGCCCCAGGATTTTGATAAAGTTTGGCATCCCGGCTTGCTGTTCTGCCTCAAGGACATTCTTCCCTCTACCTACTACCTTATTGTTCGGGGGTCTTCCTTGTTGTGCCCCAGGATTTTGATAAAGTTTGGCATCCCGGCTTGCTGTTCTGCCTCAAGGACATTCTTCCCTCTACCTACTACCTTATTGTTCGAACCTCACTGACCGGTACTTTCGAGTCATTGAAAGGTCGGCGTCATCCCCCCACTACCTCTTCTTTCCAGTGATAGTGAAACTAAACTCGATTAAAAGAACACTTAGGACACATAGGAGTGCTGTCAGCGTGTAATATTTTTTCACTCTAGTTTATCTAGTTATTTTATACACTAATTGTTACTTGTTACCAAATTGAAGTTAGCTGTAACCTCATTCAGCCTCGTTTCATGGCTTAAATTTGATATTGAAGAAGTAAAACTTTGAGTCAGGTTTATGAGTAGAACAATTCATTTCCAAAATGATGTAAGGGTTGGAAACAAAGATATACATTTCAAAGAATATATCTTCTTCTTTTGGTTATTGTAGTTCAAACTCCTAAACAAAAACATTTCCAAAAGTA